CCATTGCTCTATCAGAAACAATATCTAAATTCAGTTCAGATTTAAAAAAAAAATATTAATGTCAATCCGTCATCTTTGTTTGTCAAAGTTGCGCGACATAGGATGCGCACCAAAAACGTAACGAGGTAATTCATCGATAGATTTTACTCCTCACAATTTTGTCATACCGGGCCCCTTATATATGCAAATCGATTCTTAAGGAGTAAACTCCAATAATTTTTATTTATTTTTAAAATTAAAAAGTATACAGTACAGCTCGCATGAAAAACACTTTGATTTGACTGATTGTGTTCTGTTTTTCATTGAAGATATTTATATGAACCCTGAGCCAAATCTATCGAGCTGTTTTTAAACGATGCTGTGACTTACCTCTAAAGTAATTTTTCGACTTGACAACTCTGTATATACAGGGAGAAAAAGCAACCATTGCTGAATTTCTTGCCAGTTCTTCTCAGTACAAGGTCTCCCGCCGTAGTTTTGCGAGCCGATGGCGTAGCTTCTCGACCTTCACAGGCGCTTGTAACAGCCTAGACTGAATAAATGATTTTTGAGTTATAGCAGGGGAGCCCATGCGTGGATTTTGGGTTTTACTCGAGCGCGGCAGAGTAACATAAGGGTGGCACGAAAAGTCATGGCCGATTGTTTAATTATTTTTTGCTGCCCTAAACGTTCGACCCTATACAAAGGGCTTATTTATAGTGGGAGTCCTCCACAAGGTGCAAGGTTGCCTTCTTATTTTATTCTGCCGCGTTGTATTAAATCCAAAAATCCACTTGGGCTTCTCTACTACAGTGCTCAACAATGAGGATGTTTAGAGGCAAGTTTTCCACCGCGTCAGTTTTTTGATTAGACTTAAATGCAACTTTCGTCAGGTGGGGTTAGATATGATAATACTGGGCTAGGATAAGAGTGCGAAAACTTGGTCTACACACGAAGTGCTATAGCAGATACAGATATGTACTTGGATGTTTTCTGCAACCCCCCATGGCCACGGCTAACTAGAGCCGGGGTCCGAATCTCAGGAACGCCCTCTAGTTGAGCCGACCCCCCTGAGGCTCGAGTGGTCTCGAAGCTACAGACGGACACGAAACTTCCCCGGAGGGAGATGCCATCTGCCAGGTTATCATTCCACGTTATCCCCGGCCGGGACGCACCCACAGAGAAAATCACACCAGAAGAAGTCCATCAGGCACACCCATTAAGTCGCATTGATGACCATCATCCACCTTTGCTTATAGACATTACTTGCCAAAATTCTACTTCTAATGTGATCTCGCGAGCCCTCAGTATAAGACCTAACTTCTACAAATGCAATCTTGTTAATATTCGTGCTGATCTGAACGCTGTAAACTGGAATGAGTACTTGGCTTGTTCTAATATTGATGACTCTGTCAGTAAGTTCTACGAGATATTGAATAAGAGTCCGAAGACCCGGTCTACAAACGAAACGCTATAGCAGGTACAGATATGTACCTGGACGTTTTTTCCAACCCCCCATGGCAACCAATAACTAGAGCCGAGGTCTCAGAAACGCCCTCTAATTGAGCCGACCCGTTTAGGCTCGAGTGGTCTAGAGACTACAGACGGAGACGAGGCCGGACCGGAGGGTAATGCCATCTGCCGGGTTCGGCTGTTACGCACCCATTTCTCAGTGAAATTTTTGTTATTCCACTACACCCCCGGCCGGGACATACCAGTTTTAAAATACCCAGTATTTTGACAGGAAACTTGGGCCAATACAGTTGAAAATAGATGTGTTTTTAAATTTAAGTGCCGCGCTCGAGTGAATCCCAAAACCCCCGCTTGGGCTCCCCTACTACAAGTTTCTTTGAATGACATACATCTGGCATTGATTTTTATAGATAACTTAATTGATTCGCGAAGTTTTTATTAATGTTTTTATTTTGGATTTCTCGTGAATTTCTATGGCCATGTTTTGTTTGTGATTTCTAGGCATTTTAGTTTCTCGATCTTTCCCTTGTTTAATCTGTTAAAGGTAGGCATACTTTTTTATTGTTAGGTGAAGTAGATAAAGAATATGCGTAAAAAAACAGAGAAAAAGTACGTTTACTTATGTCTTAAGATTATGCGGATAAGTTAACTATGACAAGAGAAATATGATAAAAAAAAATTGCAAATCACTATCACAATAACTTATATAGTGCTCCCTATCTCTACTCTCTATTGAAGTACCTAACTACCTACTTACTAGATTTTTTATAACTAAAATTTTATTTTTTGTTTTTATTTTATTTTATTTTTTATTCAATGTAAATTTATACTTATTATACACTAGCGGCCGCCCGCGACTTCATTTAGTTAAATTTAGTTTTTTGAAAATTCCACAGATAGATTTTCTCTGAAATTTATGGTATTTACGGGGTTGTTACCATGTACCTTGTTTTTAGCGAGTTTCTGATATTTCGGGACTGTTGCAAGCGCCATGATCACGGAGTAACTCCGTGACACATAGAAACCACAGACACATGTCTCTGAAAATTTATGTTATTTACGAGATTGTTACCATGTACCTTGTTTTTAGCGAGTTTCTGATATTTCGGGACTGTTGCAAGAGCCATGATCACGGAGTAACTCCGTGACACATAGAATCCACAGACACATGTCTCTGAAAATTTATGTTATTTACGAGATTGTTACCATGTACCTTGTTTTTAGCGAGTTTCTGATATTTCGGGACTGTTGCAAGAGCCATGATCACGGAGTAACTCCGTGACACATAGAATCCACAGACACATGTCTCTGAAAATTTATGTTATTTACGAGATTGTTACCATGTACCTTGTTTTTAGCGAGTTTCTGATATTTCGGGACTGTTGCAAGCGCCATGATCACGGAGTAACTCCGTGACACACAAAATCCACAGAAACATTTCTCTGAGATTAACAAATATTTTGTGCTTTGTCATAGTACAAATCATAAAAATATTTTATGTAGGTATATTATTTGTACCGTGCTTTGTGTACAAAGAGATGAACAGCAACGCGCAGTTTAATTATAAATAGCTTCAATATGTACCGACTCAATGAGACAAAGTTGCTACAGAATTGCATTAACGTTAAGACAAATTATTCGTATTAGATCTTTATTTGCTGAAAAAAACGGATTTTTATAATTTATAAATACTTATTTGGTATTAAAAAAATTACGTGCACTTCAACACGGGTTTTTATATATTAAACTAGTGGCCCGCCCTCGCTTCGCTTCGGTGTAGAGCTGAAGTGTAGACAACAGTTTTTGTTCAGGCTTGTATTATAGACAATGACATTCATCTATGATTCTTCTTATACCTACATGCAAAGTCTCAGCCCGATCGGTTTAAAATTGACAAAGTTTCATACAAACTTTCATTCCCTATTTTATCCCCTTGGAGGCAGAATTGATCAAAATCCTTTCTTAGCGCATGCCTACGTCATAACATCTACCTGCATGCCAAATTTCAGCCCGATCCGTCCAGTGGTTTGGGCTGTGCGTTGATAGATCACTATGTCAGTCACCTTTGAGTTTTATATATATAGAAGGTTGGCAAACGAGCATATGCCTCACCTGGTGGCAAATGGCCACCATAACATATAGCCACCATAAAAAAAGAAAAAGCTATAGATGATCAAAGATTACAAAAAATATCACTCTGACGGGGCAGGGGGTTGGCCCCTGCCCCGTGGGGCCCTGGAACCTTACCTTACTCACCGACAGAAACACAACACAACCAAAAGGTTGTGTTACTCCAAAGTGGAGGTTACTTAAGAGGCGGGCGCTCCCATTTGAGCGGGGAATCCGCGAGCGGGAATTGCTCTACCTTTCTTGAGGCACGGGCTATAACAATTCTCTAAATAATGATTATAGAAATTACAGTGAATACGTAAAATAAATGTAAAATATTCTTTAAAAAAATTAATAATAAAATTTACTACTATACTCAAGAGCATTGATATACTTAGTTTTATTAGTTTATGATTTTTATAAAGATAAATCAAAAAAATATTATCAAAAATAATCAAAAATTTATGATAATGTTAAAAATAAATAAATAAATTGGACTTTTACTTTAAACAAGGACCTACTTACATCGTAAGATTTTTTTAGATAAATTTTAACTCTGTCATGGTTTCAGGAGGTTTATTTAAATTTATAAATCGAGCATTATTCATGCTTAAAATAGAGACCATTATAAAAAAATATTTGTTTATCTTTATTTGATTGTAATTTATTTTCGATTACATTTAATAGCTAACTTCATCTATCATTATTAAAAAGTATTGGACACGTATTTTTCTTTATTCACATAACGAAAACATTACAGAGAATATTTATTTGAAAGCTCGCGTGACGTCACGTCTTGGTAGAATTTTTTTCTTAGAAGTGACGTAACGAGTTCTCACACCCAAACTTTGACACCCAATCTTTGTAATTTTTTGGTTAAATGACAAACGAAAAAATATGAGTCCATGATTTTTTGATAGTTAACTTACGAACTAAATAGAATTATATTTATTTTATAAGTATGCAAATATTTTATAGCATATATAAAATTTAATATCTTTATAGCTTATGAAATTTTATATAATTAAAATGTCAATAGCTACAAAGCTAATGAAATTTCTTTATTTATTTAATTTCATATGTACATTACGAGTATAAGAAATTAAAACAATTATTTAAGCATGGTACATGACCCTGTCAGGGTATTGCAAGTATAATATCTTTAACTAGACAGTTAAATTTCCATCCAAAAGTTGTCTAGAAGAAATCGCTTTTAGCGATAAGACCGCCCATTGAATCACTATGTTTAAACATAATGTATTTAACCCATTTATGTAGGTACTGTACTGTGGTGTTTTCAATAAAGAATTGTGTATTGTATTGTATTGTAAATTTTAATTATGTATTGATTCGCATTGAAAATTATAACGCACGGAGAAATTAATACCTATTATCTATTGTATTTTTTACAGAAAGCGAGATGTGATTAACGTTACGATGTAAAATCAAAAATGGAGAATCCTCAAGAATTAGTGCCATTGGAAGGTTAGTATGTACAAAGAAATTAATTAATTAACTTCACCTACACCTAGGGTTACCAGATGATAAAATCAAAAGTCCGGAGAAAAGGCTTGATTTCCATTAAAAAATCCTGAGATTTTTTACAGTTTGAGAATTTTCTCTCAAACGTACTTAACAATTTAAAAAAGTCGTAATATTATCGTTTATACTCTGCTTATACTTTTAAATCAATATAATTTGAAGAGCTTAACATGTGGGGCATTATATGAATCCATTATTGAAGAAAAAACCTTACTTAAAAATGTATTTTCACATATTAAGTATGATAAAACTGAATAATTACCTACTTGGATAATAAAGTACTGATTTTAATTGTGCAATTATTACCAATAGAAGATTATTTTTAGTTCGTTTAACTTTTTATTAAGGAGATCTTTAAAACGTAAGCTGTATTTTATTGGAAATTCAAAAAATCCTGAGATTTCATGAGATTTGCAAAATCCAGCCGCAATCCTGAGAAGAGTCTAAAAATCCTGAAATCTCAGGACAAATCCTGAGATATGGTAACCCTACCTACACCCATGTTTTAAAACCTTTTTTTTTTTCTGAAACAGCTTATTCCTAACATACAAGAAACTCAAACATGTCCTAATAACTATAATATCCAGACGGATGATATAATGTTGTACTGAATTTCATAATAACACTCCTTCACTTTTTCACTCTCTCTGTACGTGAGAGTTCCAGCGTCAGTGACCTTGAGCAGGAGCGTGTATGCGCTAGGGTTGAACTTGGAATTTAGACTTGTGCCAATGAATATTTATGCATAGTAAGTTATTAAATGTAAACTGATTCAAGGATACTGGGTTAATTAATGGAAGGAAAGGTTTGATTGGTTGGCAACGCCCCCGCGCACCTCCAGACACCCACACATAGCCGCGGGCGATTTTACGAGCACACATGCTTAAGGCCGTATACAGAAAGAAAGCCGAAAGCCGATCGGCGCCGATCAGGGCCGATAAGCGCCGATAAGCGCCGACACGCGCTGGTCCGAATAATAAATAATTTGTATTTGAATTATTATCCTTAGATTAAATCAATATAAGTTATAATCTTTTTATAAATCTCTTAACTTTATCTTTATAATTTTTATTATTTTTAAAGCATGTAACTGCTTGATGTTTAAATCTAAAGAAAATATAACTAGAAATTTATTCATTTGACATTGTGGGTTTACCTATAATGCGAAGAGATGGCGCTGCCTTGCAGCTTAAGAATAGCTAGAAAGAATTTCGACGCGGTCCGTGAGGGCTGCGGTAGCATAATTGGTCAGTGCATTCGCCCGGATTGCGAAGGGTGCGGGTTCGAGTCCCGTCTGCTGCCTGGTCCGCGTGGAATTTTTTCTAGTTATATTTTCTTTAGATTTAAACTTTATCTTTTATTAACTAAGCGCTAAAATTATTTGTTTCGTACTTACCGAATGGTGACAACAAGTCTTTCTTCTGGAAGGATTGGTTGTTTATGCCAATTGCCCCAATTTTTCATCAAACGGTTTTTCACTAAATCCAAAATGTAATAAAATGTTTCTTGAATCATTCTTGTATATGTATAAAATCTTTCTTCATCAAATTTAATTTTTTTTACAAATAAATGATGGTATTCTCCGAAACGTTTCCTTTCTCTATTTATAGGATGTATAGCTGTTTTTCGCATTTTTAAATAAATATTTTCTAACAAAACCAAATCATCGTCCGATGAGTCCGACATTTTGCTTGATCTGCTTTAATCGGCTTCCCTTATGTAGGAAGGATCGGCGCCGAGAGGCGCCGATAAGCGCCGATCGGCGCCGATCGGCTTTCGGCTTTCTTTCTGTATACGGCCTTAGTGTCGCTTCTTTTCGCGTAGTGTATATATTCTGTGTAAAAGGTTTACTCATCAGACAAAAAAATTGGCAAATTTTCACTGCACGATGCGTCGTAGAGTGTGTGCGGAAAGAGAATGGGATTTAGATCGGAGGGCGTTGTAGTGCTTTTCTACCGTATTTGTAAGGTTTTACCCCTTTTAGACATGATTAAATACAAAAAACTGCAAGAAATCACAACAACAAACAAATCCGTATCAATACAAAATTTTGACGTTTTACAGATTGCTGGGTTTGATTGCCAAATAAAAATCTTAATGTTAGTTCCGTTTTTCGCCACGCCCATTCTCTTCCCTAAAGAACTTTGTCATTCACGTGCGTTTCGCTACCACAGCTCCCAAACTTTTCATCCATTCTAAGTTCTTAAAACGAGTACCTTTTATAGAGGATTCATGCATAGGTTGTAGATAAACTCTTGTATTGTTTGCAACTGTTTATAATTAGGTATTAAAACACTCATGTGATACTATTATCACTGCCCTTAATTATAAAACAGTTACATATTGTAGTCTATCTATACATAGACTTATGAGAGATTCAGAGAGATCATGTTATGTGAGCCTTGGCATGAACTCTTTGCAATGTAACTGTACCATAATTCAATGTTGTAATATTTCTGTAAGCCGCGTTTAATATCGCCGCACGCCGCTCCGTGGCTCTAGGCCGCACTTAATGTCACCGCGCGCCGCTTCGTGGCTCTAGGCCGCACTTAATGTCGCCGCGCGCCACTTCGTGGCTCTAGGCCGCACTTAATGTCACCGCGCGCCGCTCCGTGGCTCTAGGCCGCACTTAATGTCACCGCGCGCCGCTTCGTGGCTCTAGGCCGCACTTAATGTCGCCGCGCGCCACTTCGTGGCTCTAGGCCGCACTTAATGTCGCTGCGCACCTCTCCGTGGCTCTAGGCCGCACTTAATGTGACCGCGCGCCACTTCGTGGCTCTAGGCCGCACTTAATATCGCCGCGCGCCGCTCCGTGGCTCTAGGCCACACTTAATGTCACCGCGCGCCGCTCCGTGGCTCTAGGCCGCACTTAATGTCACCGCGCGCCGCTTCGTGGCTCTAGGCCGCACTTAATGTGGCTGCGCGCCTCGCCGTGGCTCTAGGCCGCACTTAATGTCACCGCGCGCCGCTTCGTGGCTCTAGGCCGCACTTAATGTCACCGCGCGCCGCTTCGTGGCTCTAGGCCACACTTAATGTCACCGCGCGCCGCTTCGTGGCTCTAAGCCGCACTTAATGTCACCGCGCGCCGCTTCGTGGCTCTAGGCCGCACTTAATGTCGCCGCGCGCCGCTCCGTGGCTCTAGGCCGCACTTAATGTCACCGCGCGCCGCTTCGTGGCTCTAGGCCGCACTTAATGTGGCTGCGCGCCTCGCCGTGGCTCTAGGCCGCACTTAATGTCACCGCGCGCCGCTCCGTGGCTCTAGGCCGCACTTAATGTCACCACGCGCCGCTTCGTGGCTCTAGGCCGCACTTAATGTCGCTGCGCGCCTCTCCGTGGCTCTAGGCCGCACTTAATGTCACCGCGCGCCGCTTCGTGGCTCTAGGCCGCACTTAATGTCACCGCGCGCCGCTTCGTGGCTCTAGGCCGCACTTAATGTCACCGCGCGCCGGTTCGTGGCTCTAGGCCGCACTTAATGTCGCCGCGCGCCGCTCCGTGGCTCTAGGCCGCACTTAATGTCACCGCGCGCCGCTTCGTGGCTCTAGGCCGCACTTAATGTGGCTGCGCGCCTCGCCGTGGCTCTAGGCCGCACTTAATGTCACCGCGCGCCGCTCCGTGCCTCTAGGCGGCACTTAATGTCACCGCGCGCCAATTCGTGACTCTAGGCCGCACTTAATGTCACCGCGCGCCACTTCGTGGCTCTAGGCCGCACTTAATGTCGCCGCGCGCCGCTCCGTGGCTCTTCGCCGCGCTCGGAGTCACCGTCCTTGTATTTTATTTATTTAATGACTTACCAAAGCTTATTAACACTATTAAAAACAAAATATTGTTGACCTCCTTATTAACTAAATGTAATAAACAATTACAGGTACCTGCAAGAAAATAAAGTGTAAAGCTTAAACAAAATAACTTAATTATATAATTGAAACAACTAAATAACTTATGTCTAAATTACATAAGGTAAAGTCGTAAGAAAAAGACGGGACTCGAGTTCGGGCACCCGAAACACTATTTACACTGGAATACAGGCTGGATGACGGTATCGGGTAACCAAAACGAAAACTACCAGAATACGGGCGCACTCGACTCCGTTCATTTACACTTAGTCATCATCATCATCAGCCTATTAATGTCCCCACTGCTGGGGCACAGGCCTTCCCTATGAATGGACTAGGGAGATTGGGCCATGACCCAGCACGCGGGCCCAGTGGTTGCTAACGAATTGGTGGGTGCTAACGACTGCAGATGCAGCCGGGACCAACGGCTTAACGTGCCTTCCGAAACACGGAGGGGCTCGAGATAGTAAATTTTTGGTCACCCATCAAATGACCGACCACTGCGAAAATTGCTTAGCTTCAACGATCGCACGCGCTAACCACTTGCGCCATCGAGCTCGTCGATGTCATATCGAACACTTAGTCGTTTACCCGAATTCCATTGGCACACGGACTACCGACCACAACCACAAAACGCCGCCACCGGCATATTTCTTGTAGTTTTCATACATTTTATATGGACTCGCCACACACGGTACGCCGGTGGTCGCCACACGCTACAAATCGTCGTTGCTCGCTTCTTGTGGCCGGCACCGGCCACTTAATGCGCCGATACAAAACGCCGCCACACGTCACTCGTGCGATTCCCCACCCCTCTCTCCCTTTCCTTAGTCGGCCGCTGTCGCGCGCTTCAGCCACTTTAGTAGCCGCTTCTAGCTTCCCGTGGCGGCGTTTGTGGCTGTGGCGTGTGGCCCGTGTGCGGCGACACTAATGGTGACAATGCGGTTCATTGTTGTTTTTTGTTTCTTTCTTCAATTTTCATGCTTATAATATCGCTCGGTCTCTAACGTGCTAAGTAAATATTTTGCAAAGCGCTAAAAAAAAATGGGTGCGTGTACTTATGTAGGCGCGTGAGAAGTTATCCTTCTTTGGCATCGTTTAAAATTAGTTTTTAATTGCATGCAAATAATTAATTACAATAAATTAATAAAAAGTCTGGAAAAGGACACAGTCAATAAAGTTCAGTTTTAATTTGAAAAAATAAATAAATAATCAAAATATTCAATTAAAATCGCTACTGAATATAATTTATTAGAACATATGTGATTTGCACTTGTATGAAACCCAAACACGTATTCCGAATATACAAACTAGAAACATGTGGATAAATATTATAAATATGAATACCTATAACTGTTACTTTATTACAAAAAATAAAGATGTGGTTTTTGGTTCTACTACACCAATGGTCAAGAGATGGCGCTGTAGTCTCCTGAATCGAATTACCTATAATGCGAAGAGATGGCGCTGCCTTGCAGCTTAAGAATAGCTAGAAAGAATTTCGACGCGGTCCGTGAGGGCTGCGGTAGCATAATTGGTCAGTGCATTCGCCCGGATTGCGAAGGGTGCGGGTTCGAGTCCCGTCTGCTGCCTGGTCCGCGTGGAATTTTTTCTAGTTATATTTTCTTTAGATTTAAACTTTATCTTTTATTAACTAAGCGCTAAAATTATTTGTTTCGTACTTACCGAATGGTGACAACAAGTCTTTCTTCTGGAAGGATTGGTTGTTTATGCCAATTGCCCCAATTTTTCATCAAACGGTTTTTCACTAAATCCAAAATGTAATAAAATGTTTCTTGAATCATTCTTGTATATGTATAAAATCTTTCTTCATCAAATTTAATTTTTTTTACAAATAAATGATGGTATTCTCCGAAACGTTTCCTTTCTCTATTTATAGGATGTATAGCTGTTTTTCGCATTTTTAAATAAATATTTTCTAACAAAACCAAATCATCGTCCGATGAGTCCGACATTTTGCTTGATCTGCTTTAATCGGCTTCCCTTATGTAGGAAGGATCGGCGCCGAGAGGCGCCGATAAGCGCCGATCGGCGCCGATCGGCTTTCGGCTTTCTTTCTGTATACGGCCTTAGTGTCGCTTCTTTTCGCGTAGTGTATATATTCTGTGTAAAAGGTTTACTCATCAGACAAAAAAATTGGCAAATTTTCACTGCACGATGCGTCGTAGAGTGTGTGCGGAAAGAGAATGGGATTTAGATCGGAGGGCGTTGTAGTGCTTTTCTACCGTATTTGTAAGGTTTTACCCCTTTTAGACATGATTAAATACAAAAAACTGCAAGAAATCACAACAACAAACAAATCCGTATCAATACAAAATTTTGACGTTTTACAGATTGCTGGGTTTGATTGCCAAATAAAAATCTTAATGTTAGTTCCGTTTTTCGCCACGCCCATTCTCTTCCCTAAAGAACTTTGTCATTCACGTGCGTTTCGCTACCACAGCTCCCAAACTTTTCATCCATTCTAAGTTCTTAAAACGAGTACCTTTTATAGAGGATTCATGCATAGGTTGTAGATAAACTCTTGTATTGTTTGCAACTGTTTATAATTAGGTATTAAAACACTCATGTGATACTATTATCACTGCCCTTAATTATAAAACAGTTACATATTGTAGTCTATCTATACATAGACTTATGAGAGATTCAGAGAGATCATGTTATGTGAGCCTTGGCATGAACTCTTTGCAATGCAATGAGCTCGTCGATGTCATATCGAACACTTAGTCGTTTACCCGAATTCCATTGGCACACGGACTACCGACCACAACCACAAAACGCCGCCACCGGCATATTTCTTGTAGTTTTCATACATTTTATATGGACTCGCCACACACGGTACGCCGGTGGTCGCCACACGCTACAAATCGTCGTTGCTCGCTTCTTGTGGCCGGCACCGGCCACTTAATGCGCCGATACAAAACGCCGCCACACGTCACTCGTGCGATTCCCCACCCCTCTCTCCCTTACCTTAGTCGGCCGCTGTCGCGCGCTTCAGCCACTTTAGTAGCCGCTTCTAGCTTCCCGTGGCGGCGTTTGTGGCTGTGGCGTGTGGCCCGTGTGCGGCGACACTAATGGTGACAATGCGGTTCATTGTTGTTTTTTGTTTCTTTCTTCAATTTTCATGCTTATAATATCGCTCGGTCTCTAACGTGCTAAGTAAATATTTTGCAAAGCGCTAAAAAAAAATGGGTGCGTGTACTTATGTAGGCGCGTGAGAAGTTATCCTTCTTTGGCATCGTTTAAAATTAGTTTTTAATTGCATGCAAATAATTAATTACAATAAATTAATAAAAAGTCTGGAAAAGGACACAGTCAATAAAGTTCAGTTTTAATTTGAAAAAATAAATAAATAATCAAAATATTCAATTAAAATCGCTACTGAATATAATTTATTAGAACATATGTGATTTGCACTTGTATGAAACCCAAACACGTATTCCGAATATACAAACTAGAAACATGTGGATAAATATTATAAATATGAATACCTATAACTGTTACTTTATTACAAAAAATAAAGATGTGGTTTTTGGTTCTACTACACCAATGGTCAAGAGATGGCGCTGTAGTCTCCTGAATCGCGCTTTGGTTCCGTTGTTCCAGATTAATAAATACTTTTGATAGGCCTTCACAATGCAGTCGTTAGCACCCACTAAATAGAGATTCTATTTCTATTTTGCTGGTAGATTTTCTTAATGTGCGGTAAACACAAAAGCAACGCATGAAGTTGGTCGCTAAAGCGACCAACTTCATGCTGTTAACATTTTGTGTTACAGTGATGCGCGCGCATCTTAAAATTTCACTCTCATCATTTTTTCATAACGCGCCTAAAGAAGTATAACTTCAAAAATTTTGACAGCTGGCATCACCCGACCTCGGCTAAACCGCCATTGCAGCCACCTAGCTTCGCGTGGTTGCTTCCGAGGGCCCATCAGGATCTGCAGACTGCTGGTGCTTCTCATCTTGCTGCCAAGCGTGTTCATATTCCTGCCGCTTTACATGAGGTGAGTTAGTAAAAATGAGCGAGAATATTTAGTAAAGTAAATAATAATAATAATAAATATTGCCAACACTCACACCAATTAGCCTAGCCCCAAAGTAAGCACTGTAAGGCTTGTGTCATGGGATACTAGGGTAACGGATAGAATACATATGCAGTACATATATAAATATATTTATATAGAATTACATATTAAACCCATGACTGGAGTACAAATTCTCGTATTCATCACACAAACATCTGCCCCACCGGGACTCGAACCCGGGACTTCTCGAGTCGGCGACACCATGAAACCCGGCGTACAAACCACTCGGTCACGGAGGTAGTCTAGATTACAACAGTAGTACATTTTATTAAATAATAAAACCCCTTTTTCTTTGGAGTATGTCATTTGTTCACAACCCTGTAATGACGCTTGTATGATAGATAAAGACTCAGCACTGACTTCACCTCAGAGGGTCATTCGCCTAACGGGATTGCTATGGCTATCGCTAACGCTTACGATATCATTTACTTATATCTGACCTTTTAAGGTTTTCAGTTACCTTCATCATCAGCCTATTAATGTCCCCACTGCTGGGGCACAGGCCTTCCCTATGGATGGAATAGGGAGATTGGGCCATGACCCACCACGCGGGCCCAGTGCGGATTGGCGGGTGCTAACGACTGTAGATGCAGCCGGGACCAACGGCTTAACGTGCCTTCCGAAGCACGGAGGAGCTCGAGATAGTAATTTTTGGTCACCCATCCAATGACCGACCACTGCGAAAGTTGCTTAAGTTCAACGATCGCAGCCGAACGCGCTAACCACTTGCGCCATCGAGCTCCTCATTTCATAGCCAAAGCTGAATAAATGAAAAAAAATATCAATATTTGTTATTGTTTGTTTAAAAATGTTTGATTTTTATTCTAGATTTAGCCGAGTGCTAAAAAAGTGTTCCGAGATTTTTTTGCAAACTGTACTTTACAAGCGACATTTGACAGATGGAGGTCATTGGCTTTCCTATTCTTATTTGAATCGCATTATAAACACGACACGCTAGGTACAGGTTCGTACCTGAGCGTTTTTCCCCGCCCCCCACGACAACGGCTAACTAGAGCCGAGGTCCAAGTCTCAGTTACACCCTCTAGTTGAGACGACCCCTCAGATTCGAGTGATCTAGAGGCTCCAGACGTAGAAGATAGTGCCCCCGTGGGGAGATGCCATCCGCCTGGAATACCTCTAGAGGCACTCGTCAATTCTCGGCATGAGGTCCCTTAGGATCTCGCCTTCCCCAAACTCGGACGCTGTAAAGGTCATCTGCGACCAGCAGCATACACATTAAAAAAAACCACATTCTGACTCAAAATATCACTATAAGTTACAAGCATAAAACCTTTTTTTTCTTTGTTTCCAGATACCGTGTGTTTTCAGGACAAATGTACCCTATGAGTATGACAGATATGAGACTGATCGATGGCAGAATATCAACGACGTGGTGTCAAGTACGTCAATTATCTATTACAATTTGTTTTTTTTTTTAAATGCCGGCCTGAATGTTTGTGTATTCTTTGCAAGGAACTTATAATAAGAGGATAGAAATGCTATGTTCGACAAAAGCGCGAGCCGCCTATCTGGCTAAAAAGCCAGATATTCGATTTACCGGGTTCAGTCCGAAATTAACGGCCGCCGCCGTGAGAACTGTTGTTGAAAAATGGGCTATTGTCGCATTTGTAACTGTGGAAATTGTTCATGAAAGGGTAGTTGTACTTATAAAGGGATTACATTTCACTGGTGAGTAGAGTTATTTAAAATATAAAGTATTATTTGAGAAAAACGCTAATTTTGTTTCAATTACCACCGATTCGTGTTGTTTTCAATTATTTTCATATACATTGCTTATATAGTAAGTTCGGTATACTATGAAAGCCACTTTGAATATGCCGCAATGGAGTAATGCACAGGTCGATATTACAACACCTCTTATTATAAGTTCTGTGATCCTTTGCGACATAAAAAGATCTATTTTCGCTCGACATCAAATACAATTAGGTACACGTATCTCGTTCACCCCGATAGCTTCTAAGAAGATCAAAATAGCTCGAATTATAGCTCAATTACCTTGGGTCGTTAGCCCATATTCGGGTACACGATAGACTTTACTCGAATTTTGAGCACTCGAAGCAATATTTACTGGAGTACAAATGCTCGTATTCATCACTCTCGAGTCGGTGACACCATGAAACGAGGCGTACAATCCACTCGGCCACGGAGGTCTTCAAAATCTATACAGTGGTTCCTTTATGTAGGATTGTGACCTCCGTGGCCGAGTGGTTTGTACGCCGGGTTTCATGGTGTCGCCGACTCGAGAGGTCCCGGGTTCCAATCCCGGTGGGGGCAAATGTTTGTGTGATGAATACAAGCACTTGTACTCCAGTCATGGATGTTTAATATGTATTTCTAAAAAAATATACTTATATATGTACAGTATATGTATTCTATCCGTTACCCTAGTATCCCATAACACAAGCCTTATAGTGCTTACTTTGGGGCAAGTTAATTGGTGTGAGTGTTGGTGTGAGGATTGTGGGTATTAATATGATGATAACCTAGAATAGAAAGGCTTAAAAAGGCTGACAGCAGCATAATGATAATGTTATCTCAATATTGCTATCAGTCTCCAGACACTGAGAGACACTATTGACCGATATAACATAGATTATGAGACAGATAGATAAACAAATGAAGGCCGGTATTATAGAAAGATTCTCAGTGATTGATCTAGTCTGGAGCATAGTTAGAAAGGGATGTCGCTATATATAACACATAGCGACACCCCTTTCTAACTGTTCTCAAGTAAAGACCAACACTTAGTTGTCATTCTGTAATACGGGACGAAATGAGTGTCTAAAGAACCTAATTTAAAAATACCGTGAAACACGCCAACGTTACCCGCGCTATTCAAATAATCGTTATTAGTCTTGTATTTTCTATGGTGACCCGTTTTTTTTAATTAGCTGTGACTCGTTAGGTATAATAGATAATGACTGGATTACTCCACCTTCAAGAACAGTGGTGTAAAATTGAGGGTACTTAGGGACATATGGACATATCTCTTCTGGGACTTTTATGAAATTCGCCATGTTAACCCAATTTGGATCACCAAACTAGTTAATTATCGTTGTTGTGAATTCGAATATAAGACATTTTTTTTGTATTTCAAGTTTTATTCCTTTTTAGATCGTTTTTTAAAATAGGTATAATGATGTTTTCTTGGTGATTTTAGGTTGTTACTATAATAGGGATGATGACTAATTTTTTTCTTGGTTTATCAGGTAGATTATCAAAAAGTATTGGACGCGTATTTTTTCTTTTTTCACATAATATAAGGCGCTTTACAGACCGTGCGGCGCACTATGTGGAGGTGCCTAAGAGAGCTTGGCCATAAATACATTTTGTAAAAATCGGCGCAGGTACTTGTATTATACCTCAAACTATAGCTAAGAAGTTGATCTACTATATTATGTATAAATTATGTATGTAACTAATACTTTTTTATAGTAAAGAGCATCTAAATACGATGATTGAAAAATTATCACGAAAACATCATAATTTGTATTTTTTTCAGGATGATTTTCTAGTAAGCTAGCAATAAAAATTATACAAGTATTATACCATTTTAGAAAGCTTATAATATATACTTTTTTTTGGTATACACAAATATGCTATATATTTATAAATATAATTACTAGAAATATTTATCTCATGACATATCATTTTTGCGTATCTGAAACTTTCAATTAGAGTTTTGACAGTTGCCGAAATTTACCGAAGGTCTGTAAATGATGTTATTTGATAGGAAATTTAATATTTTTATACAGGAAGAAAAAAAAAGTTGCAACTTCATTGCACAACATAATGCTATCTATCATAACATGAAATAGTAATAATTTCTTAAAAATACGTGGGCGAATCTATTTGTTTTATTGGTTGATATAGGTTACACTTGTGATATATTATTAATTGCGGTTTATGTTTTGATAATGTATCGAGTATTTCTCACCATTTTTAGTTCGCCTACAAAATAAATTATCAATAAAACACATAGGAAACCGAGTAACCACATAATGATAAATAGTTTTTATTCCCATACTTTGCATACGTATCAAATCAGTTATTTAATATAAAATAGAGCATCTGCATACTGAATAATTACATACTGTTTTTCGTTCGTTATTGTCGTTACTAATAGTGTATCTAACCACCTACTCTCTCGCAATGAGTGAATTCCAATGTACCAGACGCGACCTATGTCTTGTTTTGTTTGAAAGTGACGGGAATTATGTTGTTGCTTTAACAAGTTATATACGGAATAATTTTATCAACTTTTCTGAGGCAAATATCGCTAAGATTGTCGCGAGTGTACAAAAAAATCTTATTACGAACTTTCGTCAACGCTACACAAAATCTGGCAGAAATAAAGAAATTTTTTTAAATCAGAATAGCCTGTGGTTGAATGCCACATTCACAGTAAATCTGGAAGATCCTACTTGTGAATCTGAACCTTCGACATCGACGGGGAAGCGAGGACGCCCTTCTAAAACCTACGAAGACAGTTCCGATAGAACACAAAGACGAAAAAACAAGGAGTTGCTTGAAACATGTGGCCTTGATTTTATACTGAATTCATATCTTCAAGGATTGAGATCTCAAGGGGAAACGGAAGAAGCATTCATTGTCGAAATTTTACGAGTATTACCCATAGATAAAAATAGTGAAATACGTCAAAATCTTTTAAATGAACCGGCACATTTAACAGCGTACTCTAAAGATGAAGCTCTCAGTATTTTTATAGAGTTGGACCTTAACGTGGCACAGTATGAAAACATGAGAAATTGCTTAATTGCGAAGAACTGCGTATTATTTCCGTCATATAAATCAATTCAGGAAGCTAAAGGAATGTGCTACCCACCAAGATCAAGCACAGAAATTAATAATATTACAGCAAAAATAAAACAGCAAGATCTGCTGGATCACACTATTGCAAGAATTTTGAAAATCAATGGTGTATACAAAGCTGGCAAAAAACATTTAATGCTGTATTCGAAATGGGGCTGTGATGGCTCAAGCGGACAAAGTGAATACAAGCAAGTCTTAACTGAAGAGGATGAGTTAATTTCTGACACAAATTTATTTATATCTTCATAAGTACCTCTGAAACTTGATGATATTAATACAAATGAAACTTTGTGGGAAAACCCTGTTCCATCATCAGTAAGATTTTGTAGGCCCATTTTAATAGAATTTTCAAAAGAGACACCAGAGAAAACTACAAGTGTAGTTAATGAAATTATAGCTCAAAAAAACGCTCTCACAACAAGCTTAATCAATAAAAATGGTGAAAGTATTGAAATCAAACACACATTATTTTTGACAATGGTTGACGGGAAAGTGGCTCAAGTTTTGTCAGAAACTTCATCAGGTGCTGTATGTACTATTTGTGGTGCAAGACCTACAGAGATGAACAATTTAGAAAAAGTACAAAATAAACCTGTTGACGAAAATTCTTATCAATATGGGCTTTCGACTTTACATTGCTGGATTAGATTCATGGAACTAATTTTACATATATCTTATAATGTAGGCTTTGAAAAATGGTCTGCTACAACGACAGAAAATAATGATTTGAAAAAACAAAAGAAGACATATGTACAAAGAAGGTTCAGAGAAGAACTTGGTTTAAATATAGATAAACCTAAGCAAGGTTCTGGTAACAGTAATGACGGTAATACAGCTAGACGATTTTTTCAAAATTATCAGTGCACTGCAGAAATTACCGGTGTGGATGAGGAATTGATAAAACGATTTTATGTTTTACTTCAAGTTATGTCTAGCGGAAAAGTAATTAATGCTACGAAATTTGGACAGTATGCTTTCGATACAGCACAACGATATGTTAGTAAATATATGTGGTATTATATGCCATCATCTGTCCATAAAGTCCTAATTCATGGGGAAAGTGTAATTCGGCATTATTCAGTGTTACTTCTTGGACAGCTCTCCGAAGATGCCCAGGAATCAAGGAACAAAGACTATAAACGATTCAGACTTCATCATGCTAGAAAATGCTCTAGAGTAGCTACAAATGAAGACGTTTTACATACACTTTTGTACACTTCAGACCCTTACATAACAAGTTTAAGAAAACCTTCCAATAAAAGTCTATGGAACTTATAGATGAAGCTGTAGAGCTAGTAGAATAATATAATTCTATGTTATTTTCTTTTTCTTATTATATTTAATTAATAAGAGTAATTTTATGTGTTTATTTTGTATTAATTATAACATTTAGGTCACATTGTTTAAAATTAGTCGTAAATTTATGATAATTTTTCAATATTTCATGTTTTGTATTTTTTTGCAATTATTAAATATATTTTTATATGCATAGACTGTATATTATTTTAAAGTACGTTTATCTCAGATTTCCTAAAAAAAAAATCAGCTGTATATCTATAAAAACATGGAAGTTATAGATTTATGACCCGAAACCGACTCGATCTCCACATAGTGCGGCGGGGCGGAGCGGGCCGGTCATTTTCGCCGCGAACGATAACACAAAGTGAATCCTACACTACAAACGCACACAGAGGGCAAAAAGACCGCGGCTGCCCGCCGTGGATCATACAAACCAGTTTATATGCAGTAACGCAGACGGCGGCGGGGGGCGGCTAGCTCAGTCCGTGCCACGCGCTTTTAGTGATGGGGTACTCAGTAGTGGGTGTACTCAGTATTCTCTATAACGGTTGCGTCACTTCCTTTTTTTGTACATAAAATAAGCAACGATTCGAATTCTCTCTATCTCCATTTTCACTGACGTGCTATTCACTAGAACAAACGTCCTGAACTGACTTCCTCTGCCCGTCGTGTGCTTTGTGTACGCGGCGAGGGCAGCCGCAGACATCGACGGGCAGACGCGGTTCTTATTGCTTCGCGGACAAAAAGCCCGCCCCGCTCGGTCGTCTGCAAAGCGCCTAAACATTGCAGTGATATATTGTTTTGAAAAGTCGCATGACGTCACGTTTGAGTACACTTTTAAGCGAATATTCACTAAAAAGTGACGTCACGAGCCCCTACTCCCAAACTTTGACGCGATCATTTAACTGACGGACTAAATAGAATTTCGTTTACTGTACCCCGTCATCACCCCTATTTACTTATCGTATCCCAATTGTCGTATCCATGAAATACAGTGAATTCCTTCCTACAATCTGGGGTCCTTTAAGAGAGGCATGAAGAAGAATTTTTGCAGGCCGGCAATATGAGGATGGTTGGTGTGGCTGTTTACAACTACTGCACCAGCTTTCTTCGCGTTTGGACTTTATCACCATTTAACATCAGGTGGGGTAGAGTCATTTGCGTACCTAGTTATATAAAAAAATGGGTGCGTGTACTTATGTAGGCGCGTGAGAAGTTATCCTTCTTTGGCATCGTGTAAAATTAGTTTTTTAATTGCATGCAAATAATTAATTACAATAAATTAATAAAAAGTCTGGAAAAGGACACAGTCAATAAAGTTCAGTTTTGATTTGAAAAAATAAATAAATAATCAAAATATTCAATTAAAATCGCTACTGAATATAATTTATTAGAACATATGTGATTTGCATTTGTATGAAACTCAAACACGTATTCCGAATATACAAACTAGAAACATGTGGATAAATATTATAAATATGAATACCTATAACTGTTACTTTATTACAAAAAATAAAGATGTGGTTTTTGGTTCTACTACACCAATGGTCAAGAGATGGCGCTGTAGTCTCCTGAATCGCGCTTTGGTTCCGTTGTTCCAGATTAATAAATACTTTTGATAGGCCTTCACAATGCAGTCGTTAGCACCCACTAAATAGAGATTCTATTTTGTTGGTAGATTTTCTTAATGTGCGGTAAACACAAAAGTAACAGCATTTAGTTGGTCTAACCAACTTCATGCTGTTAATTATTTGTGTTGTGTTACAGTGATGCCCGCGCATCTTAAAATTTCACTCTCATCATTTTTTCATAACGCGCCTAAAGAAGTATAACTTCAAAAAATCTAAAAACTTGATCTTTTTACCCGACTGCGCAATGCAAGAGCGCGAAACGCGACGCGCAGACAGGGTATAGTGTTTAATAGTCTATATATGTATGTTTGTTCCTTTGTGGCACACTAGAGACCAAACGCCTGGACCGATTTTGATAATTCATACATCAATCGATTCGTCTCAATCATGGGAGTGCTACTAAAGATATGATAGTAATCAAAATTCAATATGGGCAATATTAGGCGCCATATTGTGACGAAGTAAAAAAAATAAGTTGACAAAATATGTCGAGTGCGGTATCACTGTCTAGATAATCGAAATCATGTTTAGGTTCCTAACACCATTTTTCATTTTATATGATTGTTTAGTATCTACAACGCTTTAAAGTTGTACCTATATTAACCACTTGCGCTTTTAATTTCAATCTTACGTTTTTGAATAAGTTAAAATCGTCTTAAATAAAAGTAGGTATAGATATTAGAACAGACAATATAAGAAACTTATCGGTAAATGTATTAAAATGTTAATGAAAACAAATGATAGCAATAATCATTATTTGTATACAGAATGCGTTCGCGTGAATAACGCTATCAGCTTCAGATAAATACATAATAAGGAAAGTGTCTCGTTTCGTTGTCACAATGTTACAACATTGATAACTTTACGCTGACAAAGTTCATGATTGTTAATACAAAACTTCTTAATTACTTACGTTCTTTACTTAGTCATTACACCAACAACAAACGGAACAACTCATAAAATTGATGTGAAACTTCTTTATGCACGCTTGACTTGGGGGGTAAGCTGTCGAATGCACGGGAGTTGAGTGAGGGATAAAAGAGAAAGCAGTGAAATTATTCCAAATCGATAAGAGATACAACACATTTTTACAAAGTTGACTCTACGGAAAACACATTTTAACCGATTTAAAAAATATAGGTCTTCAATTCGGCTGCTGTGTTTATTTTAAGTATAAAAAAATAAGGCATTCTATTCGGCCGCTGTGTTTTTTTTAAGTATGTAAGTACCTTTTGATTCGATTACTTTTTTGCCCGATGCGGAATAGTTGACAAATGGTCCCATAAAAATCTAACTTGTCAGTCATTTTTATTTTATAAGCCTATTTGCTAACTGATGTAATTTTCACGATAAGTAGCTCGGCAGTTAACCATACCGACTAGTCAGTTTATATGTGTACTCCTTAGATGTACTCTAGATTAAAGTGTAGAAGCTTTAGACACAAATGAATGTAATAAAGTTATTATTTATCAGAAAATAAAAATCGACTTTTAAATCATACAAAAACCCGATCGATTTCGTGTGAACCGGTTGTTATTTCTTAATCTCTAGTTTCATTTTCTAATTTTAAAGTCGGTTTTATTTTATGTAAAAAAAATATCACGAAACAAACCCAGGAAAAATGTCTTGTCAGCTGCAAGTGCAAAATGTTAGCCATCTAGTGAGCAATTTGTAAAACAAAATAAACCACACCTCACTTGCGGCCTGCTCCTGGTTCTTGCTTTGAAATATGTCTAGTTAATAATGCAAACTCTCAGCAATAGATGTCGCATTCTTTGAATTTGTTCAAACTAGTGCTTATCCCGGCCACATACCTAGTACACGAAAATTACTGACGCCCACCGGAAGGTGCTCTGCTCATACATTTAATGACTGGAAGATGGTTGAAAATATTTTAAATAGCGTAGCGTAGACCACAGCAAACAGATATCACATAATATAGTAAAAGCCTTAATAAATAATATGACTATAATTGCTATTTCTTCTTTAATATATTTGTTTCTTAGGTTTTCATGCACATCACTCATTAAATAAAAGTAATTTTAACGGGTTAATGCACGAACTTTATTTATTTATTGACGTTTCCCAGCCTTTTCAGGTCTGCATCGTCAGAATAATGTTTTTTTATTTACTTTGTCGAGCACCTTCGAAAGATTTTAAAAACTTTATTGTCTATGTATGAATTTATTAGGTAGTTAATCTATACTTATAATAAATCTGTAGAGATGTCAATTCTGTACATGAAATATATTTTTAAAATAACTATCAGGGGGTGATTAGTGATCGATACTGATGCCAAAAATGCAATCAGTAAAATTTTTGTCTGTCTGTCTGTCTGTCTGTCTGTGTGTATGTTCCTTATAGAAACAAAAACTACTCAACGGATTTTAACGAAACTTGGTACAATTATTCTTCATACTCCTGGGTAGGTTATAGTATACTTTTCATCACGCTACAATCAATAGCAGCAGAGTAGTGAAGGGAAATGTTAGGAAAACGGGAGAAGTTACTCCATTTTTTAAGCTTCCGTCGCGTGTGCAGCCTTAATGGTTAAAGTTACATAGAAATCATGTATGACGGAAATATTCTACATAAAATTGTCTAAAAATATTCCGCAACAGCATATGTGTATCTTTTATGGTTGACTCACAATAACACGTAATTATATAAATAAAGTCATTCTTTATAGCACAAGCCTGAGAACAAAAACTATAGTTTACACTACAGCTCTACACCGAAGCGAAGCGAGGGTGGGCCACTAGTTTAGTTAATAAAGTACTTTTTTTTTGCAATTTTAAGGTTCCAAAATTGGGAGACCTTTCTGAGAAGAACCGCCGAAACAAACTCAGAGAGGCTTTCTATCTCCTTCTTATGTTAAATTATGCAAAACATTTTTTTTTGCATAATTTAACTAATAGTACCTATCTGTTGGTCTTAAAGTGTGTGCTCGGGGTTGGGATTTTATATCTTATATAATGGGTTCCCAAGCTGGTGGTACACACCAACCATCTTCCCTATTGAAATTTGGATATTTTTTAACCGTAATAGCCTCATTTCTTTTTTAATTTGGAAAGAGACCGGTACTTAAAGCACAGACTATTCTTTTTAAATACCAGCCGCCCAGCACTGGCTCGTTTCCCAAAGCAGTAGTAGGGCTAAAGTAGGTAATACTGCCCCCCTAGCGCTACAGCACAAATTACATTATATCACGTTTTTATCGCGTCTAACTGTCAAACTCCATAGTAATTTGACAATTGGGCGTGATAAAAACGCGTTATATATCATATCGCGGTGCTTATGCTAGGGGTTTGCTGGGACATGTAAAAGCGTTTTTTGCAGAAAGTAAATGGCTTAGTAAATTACGAGTAATGAATCTACGACCTCGCACTGGATGATGAAAGCGCACAACCTTTGTGTTTGAAGTACCTAGAGGAGGCCTTTCTCCAGCAGTGGACGTCCATCGGCTGATTATGATAATGATCTTAAAATGACTTTTACGCCCTTTTCTTTCCAGACACAAGTCGTCAGATCTAACACTACCTTCAACGCGTTCGTGGTGCCAGGTCCGCCGCAACTGACCGACGAGCTGGTGCCAGTCTCCATGACCAGGGAACTGGAGCTCAATGACGACATGAAGGAGTACTGGGGCTTCTACCTGCTGAAGGGGTCTACTGTCACTGTGTCCACGTGCGTCAGGTGGGAGAACTTGCATAAAGTGATAAATAGTTTCAATCCCGTTAAAGGAAAAAGATTGCAGATTTTTTTATCTGTAGTGATTTAAAACACAGTACCCCTGGCACGAACCATTATCGAATTCGAATAGTTTGCAAACCGAAATGTCAATGTCAAATTTTGTATGGAAACTTGTACAGCAGCGGCACAAAGTACGTAACGAGAACTAAAAATCATTATACATTTGACAATGACATTTCTTACTCGCAAACGATACGAATTCGATTTTTGTTCATGCTAAGGGTACTGGTCTAAAGGAGACGATTTAATAAGTCAAAGCTTAGGGTATGGAAGACGAAGTACCAAAATTCGCCTTTTATGATTAATTTAGAAAGTAGAACGTAGAAATAATTATAATTACATTTGGTCGTTAGCCCGTATTCGGGTGCACGAAAGACGTTATAATGCGATTCAAATAAGAATAGGAAAGCCAATGACCTCTATCTGTCAAATGTCGCTTGACAAGTACGGTTTGCAAAAAAAACTTGGAACCCTTTTTTAGCACTCCGCAAATTCAAGAATAAAAACCAAATATTTGTAAACAAACAATAACAAATATTGATAATTAATATCGGTGGATATTTTTTTTACTTATTGAGCTTTGGCCATGAATGGTTAATAACATAAATCGTCAACCAAATGTCACTTTAAGTTGCGTTCATAAACTCGATTTCAACCTTTCGTTTACATAAAGGATGCATGTTCGTATGTGACCTAGTAATAGTGCATAATTATTCATAACTACTCCGGCGGTAATGCAGAAATGAGCGGAATAGAAGTGCTAGATTCTGATTCATGTTTTTCTCACAGTCTTATTAAATAAATATTATTAAAAATCGGGGGATTTTTTTTCTCAATCTTAGTAAATAAATGTTATTTTAAAAAATTTGATGATTTTTCTCGCTTAATCTTTGTAAATAAGTTTTAATAAATAGAAACTTTTTTTGCTCACTCTACCTATTTGGTTTGAATTTACAGCTATGACATCACAATATGACGCCCAGTCGGTCCTATTCTTAGTTGAATCGCATTATACGAGTATAATTAGTATTAGTATTCAGGTGCCCGAAATTCAGTAGTATACAAGTTAAGAGACAGTGTCGGGTAAACAAAATGAAATCAACCCGACCCGAAATACTGGCGTACTCAACTCCGTTCATTTACACTTAATCGTTTACTCGAATTCCATTGTAAACTCTTATTCGGGCTAACGATAAGCGAAATTGCGCCATTAAGGTATCGGAAGCAGCAAAAACCGGTACAAGTGCACGAAAAGAGTTTTTGATTTAAATAAATCCAAGGATGTTGGTAAAACGTCGTATCTAATAACAGTCTGTACCCCTAGCACAAACCATTATCGAATTCGAATAGTTTGCAAACCGAAATGTCAATGTCAAATTTTGTACGGAAACTTGAACAGTACCCCTAGCTCGAACCAAAATCGAATTCGTATCGTTTGCGAGTCCGAAATGTCATTGTCAAATGTGTACCGATTTTTAGTTCTCGTTACGTACTTTGTGCCGCTGCTGTTCAAGTTTCCATACAAAATTTTACATTGACATTTCGGTTTACAAACTATTCGAATTCGATAATCGTTCGTGCTAGGGGTACAGCAGCGGCACAAAGCACGTAACGAGAACTAAAAATCTTTACACATGTGACAATGACATTTTGGACTCGCAAACGATACGAATTCGATATTGGTTCGTGCTAAGGGTACTGTTATCTCCTGTCTACCCCTCTTGTCCCTCCGTGTAAAGATGAGTGCGAGAGAGAGAGATACACATGTAAGCCCACTCCCATTTCCCAAAGTTGTAGCACGTTTGGTTAGTAGTAAAACACCTATTATAGTAGTACCCTTAGCATGAAGATCGAGATTAAATTCAACTTTAATGGTTCGTGCCACAGAACACAAAAAGAGGTTTCTACATTCTGTGGGTTTCTTAAAGGTACAGTACTTTACACACGGTCTTGTGATTGGTTTCAGTGGCCTGGCCAGTTCTCCTAATATGTAGAACTACACTGCTGTAGAAGTCTGTGCGGAAAGAGAATGGGCATGGCGAAAAACGGAACTAGCATTAAGATTTTTATTTGGCAATCAAACCCAGCAATCTGTAAAACGTCAAAATTTTGTATTGATACGGATTTATTTGTTTTTGTGATTTCTTGCGGTTGTTTGTATTTAATCATGTCTAAAAGGGGTAAAACCTTACAAATACGGTAGAAAAGCACTACAGCGCCCTCCAATCTAAATCCCATTCTCTTTCCGCACAGATAGCTACAGTACCCTTAGCATGAAGATCGAGATTAAATTCAACTATATTGGTCGTACCACAGAACACCAGAAAGAGATTTCTACATTCTGTGGTTCATGCTAAGGGTACAGTACTTTACACACGGCCTTGTGATGGGTTTCAGTGGCCTGGCCAGTTCTCCTAATATAGCTGTACGTGCATATATGTCCAAAAAGAAACCCTTTACCATTAAGTCGACATATAAAATGTTTCGAGTCTTATTTCGACAACTTTCTATTAAAGTCTTTGAAGACAAGTATGTCGTAAGGCTAAAGAAAAAAAAATATCGAGTTGAGAACATGTTACATTTATTTCCGATATTTCATTCAGATGGCCAGGAGCATCGCTGATAATGATCAAAGGGTACAAACACTTGCAAGAGTGCGCGTACATCGGGGACGATTCTTCAGAGGAGTTGGACGAGCTAATGGAGGCCAACAAGCTGGGGCTGATCTCCGACGACTTGCTGCTGGAGAAAATACAGCAGCTGAAGAAGGTGGACGGCAAGGCGAATCAACCAGGTCCTTAATATTATACTTCAAAAATTCATTCATTTGTCAAATCCTGTAACAACAATATTTTGTAAATATTGTTACAAGATTTGACAAACAATATTTTGTAAATATTGTTACAAGATTTGACAAACAATATTTTGTAAGTATTGTTACAAGATTTGACAAACAATATTTTGTAAATATTGTTACACAAGATAAGACGCTGTGAAGTTTATCTCGCCCTTTTTTCTCCACAGCTAAAAATGTCCATAACGGGTGCTAAGGAAAAAATATGGACGATTCAAAAGAGTTATATGATTCTTTCTATTTGAATTTTGAATTGAATTAAACTTCCATTAGGAACTACTTACTACCTCATCATTGGTCTATTAAATACGGAAATTAGGGTAATTATTACAGTTATTAGCGAGATAGCTACCATGTTATTTGTTTTTATTACTACTCCGTGATCATGGCGCATGCAACAGTGCCGAAATATCGGAGACTCACAAAATGCAAGGTACCTACATGGTAGCAATTTCGCTTATAACTATTATAATAATGTTAGTGACCATTAAATGTAAAACAATGTAATTGGGTAATTGAATTTGAAATTACTAGCAACCTAGTGCCTACCACCATCATAATCAGGTATTAAAACCCCAAATAATGGCCAATAATGATTCTTATCAAATTCGATAACAGTCCGCTGGCAGAATCCGCTTTTATCCATTATCACAAAATTTTATATTGCTGCTTTATTAGTATATGCAGAAATATTTGAAACGGCGATTGTTAGAAATATTAAGATCATAAAGAATTTCCATTTTTGTGTATCAATTTAATTATTAATTGTATCCAATTGACACACAATTGTTTCCTAATAAATTATGCAATTCACAACAAAAATTCCTAGTTCGATTTGGTACCATTTAACAACTCTTAAAAATAGTTAGGTACTTTGTTATTTCAAGTAGATAGTGGTAAAAAAAGAAGAAATGGATTTACTGAAATACGCAGTTTGATAACTAGTATCTTTTTCTATATCTTTCTTAAATATCTATCGAGTTTTTATTACAAGAAGTTGAAGTTCAAGAAGCAGAATTTTCTTAACTTGTTTCAATTCAGTCTTAATACAAATTCAAATCACGTTCTATCAATCCTCATTTTATCTATCTCTATTTAACTTATTCAATTGATTAAGCCTTAATTTGAATTCAGTATTTTGATTCCATTGGCCCTTAATACAGTAAGTATATCTGATATCTGATATCTGGTATAGCTGACTTTATTCTCCCTTATTGGCTGCAGGCACGATGAAGCGTCATAAAGCTGGTGTTAGTTTCCATGATCCAAGCCACACCACCAATGTCACGTCGCCAGAATCGGTGCCAACTGCTGATATCACGGAGCAGGACCCTAAGGTACATATTAGCCTTAGCTTTATAATTTACCCGATGCTGGGACATATAATCATCGTCAACCTGATAGAGTTCCCACTGCTGGGACACAAGCCTTCACTGTAGACGAAATAGGGTGATATGGCCATTACAGTAGGGATTGGTGTTAGCACCCAACAACAGTAGATTCAGCTGACCAATAATAATATAATAAATATTTCCGACACTCACACCAATTAGCCTAGCCCCAAAGTAAGCACTGTAAGACTTGTGTTATGGGATACTAGGGTAACGGATAGAATACATATACAGTACATATATAAGTATACTTATATAGAAATACATATTAAACATCCATGACTGGAGTACAAATGCTCGTATTCATCACACAAACATCTACCCCCACCGGGATTCGAAACCGGGACCTCTCGAGTTGGCAACACCATGAAACGTGGCGTACAAACCACTCGACTACGGAGGTCGTCTAAACCAATAATTTAACATGACTTCCGAAGTATAAAGTAACTCATCGATAAAAAATGTCAATTGATAAAATTGCTACTTCCACAATTTGATGATGAAATGCACTCACTAATTTCTAAGTTCAGGACTTACTTGAGGTGTTATCTCAATAGGTATTTTTATATGGGATTATCGGGGTTTGTTTCACTTATTGTATTCTTACTCATTGTGGCCGTTCCCATATCACCTTTAAAGTCTTCCAGAGGCTTCCTCGGAGGGTTTTTGTCAGCCTAACTCTGACGTAACCCTGCAGCCAGTTGTATATGTATTAAGAACTTAGAGCGTTTAATGCTCTAAGATTAAGAATGTTCCACCTCGCTCCCGCACTTCCCAGAGGGTGCCCATACTGCCCATCCATGTCAGGTGAAAAAAAAATATTGCTTACTTTCCATGCTTAGGCATTAACGACCAAAAACTGATTCACTTCTATAGGATAAGCGATAAGGGTAATAAGCAATAAGAATGCAATCCTTTAGTTTAAAATCGTCGTAAAAATTTTGCTTTATTCACATGGTCTATTTTTATTTGTTTATATCCAAATCTTCTGTGTCTTCCCATATTCTCTCCCAATTTCTTTAATCTTAATGTATCTGTCTTCCTCTCTACCCTTACATTATCATCAGGAACTCCGAGAGCTTCTGGAACGTCTCCACGCCTTGCGTCAAGCGGCTAAAGACGAGCTTGCGAAGCACTACCGGCCTCCCTCGCACCTCATGTCGCTGCCGAGCTTGCACCGCCACCGTGATACAAATGTGGACAGGGATGAGTTTAAATGGATCTCTTTCACTGGTGAGTGATATAATTTTTGAGGCACCACAAAATACAGAAAAAATCGCCCTGGAACCTGAAAATAGGAAGAAGTCTGACTGAATCTGAAGACTTCTATGTGAAGCACAATGGTTTATGAATGATTTGAATTTTATTGTTCAGACCTGTGACCCAGGAGTGGGGATATTAACAGGCTAATGATTATGAATTTAAAATTATGATTATGACAATATAATTAACTAATCCAAATTCATTATTTTTAATTCAAATGCTTTATTGTGAAATGTAGGTTAGTACACTAAATTAGTGTTAGGTAAAAAATTATATGTGTTATTAATTATATGTGTACACTACACTACATTTCAACCTCATTATAAGAAGGTATACAATATTTTTATAGAATAATCAGGGTTACAATTATATAAAAATCTAAATTATTATATTATTATTATATTCGAACTAGTCATAGTTAAAAATAAATATCAAAGTATGTATTATTTCAGATATCGAGAATAAAAATAAAGCCAACAATACGAGAATCACCACCAATGAAGCACGTACCATAATACCCATATCCGTAGCCCATAATGTCTCTTCAACAGTCGAAGAGGAACAAAAAGTACCTGAAAAAAGTATCACACACGCCAGCATGACTGAAAAAGTAGAAAATATTAAAGAAAAAGAAGAAGATATCCAAGAAACAGCTACAACAGAAGATGATAGACCAATCAAAGAAGTCGAAACGAAATATACGACACAGGTAAGATTTTTTCAACAAAGTATAAATTTTATATTGTTTAAACGGTCACAAACGTTGCAAAAGTTTTAACAGAATTGACAGTTTTTATAAATCTTTTATATTTCGGCACCGTTGCAAAAGATAGACTGATAATACGAGTACATTACCCGCACTTTAGTCACTTCGTGATTATGGCGCTTGGGACAATGGCGAAATATCGGGGATTCGTAAAAAAACAAAGTTTTTTGTAGCAATTCCGCTAGTGACATAATAAGTTAAATGTCATTTTATAGCCTGTAATATAGTTCACATTTTATATTACCTACCTACGCAATTTACACTGCTTGATAACAATCTAAACACGGACTGGTAACAATAGCTTATCTTGATAATATTCAAAGTCTCGATAATGAAATAATCAAATGTACCACAAATATTGACATCACAATTATTGGTAAACGCTCTAAGCAATTAATGCGTGAAAGTGTAGAATATCTATCTATGATAGAAGAGTAGGAAAGTTATTCTGTCAATCTGTATGGACATATAGATAATCTTGGTGAAGTCTCATTGTGACGAAAGTAAAATCAAAGGGGTGAACCTAAAACAGGGAATAAAAGTATGGACGATTATTCTTATATGACAACGGCTACGGATATAAAAAGTTACCTCTTATAATTAATTACGCAAATCCACTCCACCCCATCTGAAGTTGAGTGATAGTAGAGTCCAGATGTGGAAATATACATATTGAAAATAAAAGAAGCTGGTGCATCAGTCTTGCCTACCACACCAGCTATCTTGCCTGTAGACACAAATGCTTCTCGCCTCTTTTGAAGACTCTGGGTTGTAGAAGACTGTGTAAAGACTGTTGTAGTTATATTTTTAAGCATTTACTGTTAGATGTTCGAATCTAAAGAAATTTATACTAGAAAAAAAGCCACGCGGTCTAGGCATATTGGGAGCCGTCTGTTGCCTGGTCCGCGTGGAAATTTATCTAGTAAAATTTTCTTAAAACTGTTGTACTTCGGATGGCACGTCAATAGTGCAGATTTTATCTGCAGTCGTTAGCACCCACCAATCTTCACTAGTCCTGCGTGGTATTGTCCCGTTCTCCTATTCTCACCTATATGTGTCACCGCACACGGGCCACACGCCACAGCCACAAACGCTGCCACGAGAAGCTAGAAGCGGCTACTAAAGTGGCTGAAGCGCGCGACAGCGGCCGACTAGGGTAAGGGAGAGAGCGGTGGGGTATCGCGCGAGTGACGTGTGGCGGCGTTTTTTATCGGCGCATCATGTGGCCGATGCGGGCCACAAGAAGCGAGCTACGACGATTTGTAGCGTGTGGCCGCCACCGGCGTACCGTGTGTGGCGAGTCCATATAAAATGTATGAAAACTACAAGAAATATTCCGGTGGCGGCGTTTTGAGATTGTGGTCGGTGGCCCGTGTGCGGCTACACTTAGTCTGTGTTCCAACAGTGGGCACATGAATTGGCTGATGATGATATATAAGATACTATAAGCAATAAGCCTATGTCTTATCACCTCGTAGTTATAATCAAACAATATGGATGATGACAAACTTTTTTTTCTTCGTCTAAGATTAGATTTACAAGGAGAATTGGACACGTATTTTTTCTTTTTTCACATTAGCAAAACATTACAGATATGTGCCGATTTGAAATGTCGCATGACGTCACGTCTCAGTCTCAGTACAATTAATTTTACTTAGGAGTGACGTCATGAACCCCTCTCCTAAACTTTCACGCGGTTTGTCTTTGTAATTTTATGGTTGATTGGCAGAAAAAAAAATAGGTGTCCGTTATTTTTCGATAGTCTAACTGATGAATTAAATAGAATTTCCTTTTCTTTACCCCGTCATCCCATTCCCACAGAACACAGAAAGAGGTTAGAAGGGCCTTGTGGGCTGGGCAGGCGCGCCAAAGTTATGTATGAGCAAATGCTCATAACTTGGCCAAAACTTGATTCTGATTGCGTCGTTGCTCTAGGCTGTGTGCGTTGATTGGTTCGATCGTTTGATAAAGCGCCGTTTAATTGGCTATTTTCTATTAGATAGAGGTATAGTTGGTACGAGCCGGCGACATCGGTTCCCTTACAAACGGTCTATAATCACCCTTCTAACCTCTTCCTGTATTCTCATATCATCCCTATGCCACAGTTGCATTCATCAACATATTAATTATAACGTTTCATCATCATCATCAGCCTATTAATGTCCCCACTGCTGGGGCACAGGCCTTCCCTATGGATGGAATAGGGAGATTGGGCCATGACCCACCACGCGGGCCCAGTGCGGATTGGTGGGTGCTAACGACTGCAGATGCAACCGAGACCAACGGCTTAACGTGCCTTCCGAAGCACGGAGGAGCTCGAGACAGTAAATTTTTGGTCACCCATCCAATCACCGACCACTGCGAAAGTTGCTTAACTTCTACGATCGCAGCCGAACGCGCTAACCAGTTGCGCCATCGAGCTCCTCACTATAACGTTTACACAGTATCTATTTGATGTAAGCTCAGAAACGATTGATATAGTTGTTCATTATAACTTTGTTGCTGTCGCATGTACTTGCGCAGTAAACCACTATGTCTGTGACATCATGCTCTTGTTGTCAATGGTATCTATTCATTGTTATTAGCCTTTTTAAGGTCACTTGCTATTAATAAATATTAGGTCACAGCAGTTGTAAACAAGAAGGACTGTTAAGATACATATCTAAGGTTAAATTTCATGACAATCAGATATATACACTTATACCAAATCTTGAAAACATCTTCTAAGCGTGGATTATAAAATGTTGGTATTTACCAATGCTTTTGTTAAAAATATTATACTCTTTATTGTATCAAATAGTACAAAACAGAAAGTCAAATATAGAGAGAGAGAGAGTTAGCAAAGATTGGCTTCCAGGGCTCCAAGAATAGAGGAATGGGTTCAGGCCAGCAAAATTATAATAGTTCACTCACTTTTCTGTCGTATGAGCTGTACCTTGTACCTTCGCAACTGAACTCCCCTTACACTTAACATCAGATGGGCTGGGGTCTTGAGTGGCGACCTTGGGGTCAAAAACGTGCCCAGAAAGACCTCAGTTGCGTTGGGACGATGACCTTAAAAGAACAGCAGGGAAAAATTGGCTTCAGGATGCAGAAAATCGTGATAGGTGGAGAAATTTGAAGGAGGTCTACACCCAAAGGGTTGAGACAGGCTCAAAGAGAGAGACCGCCGATTAGGCCTACGTGAGCAAACGCCCTGCGCATGCTCGTGGCCCGCTCAATTATGGCGAGGAGAAGTTCCCGGGGAGTTTAGTGGAGTATTTAGTTAGTATGGGTAGTTATGGGTAGTCATGCTCTCATAATAGTCTCTTCGGCGGTGTCGTGTGAGGCGGGTCGTTACGTTCCCTAAAATATGGTTGAGCGAAGCGATGGCTGGTTCATGCGTCATGCTCGTGAACGGGTGCTGCCAGCGGAGATGAGTCTGCCCTAACTTCCTTAATATTGAAGTTAATGTTTAGTCACACTGAATATAAATAACACTATTTGTATTTATACTGTATGACACAGCAATCAAAATGCAGGTAAACAATTAATGTATATTTAATAATTATGTAATGAAAAGTGACTTCATGAATCACCTCTGAAGTCATTTTTCAATTTGACGACTCTGTAAATAATAAAACAGGGAGAAAAAAACAGCCCTTGCTGAGTTTCTTGCCGGTTCTTCTCAGTACAAGGTCTCCCGCCGTAGATTTACGAACCGATGGCGTAGCTTCTAGACATTCATATGTGCTTGTAACAGCCTAAACTGAATAAATGATTTTGATTATGATTATTATGATTATTCCCAGCTATCTCTTTAGCCGGGAGAGTCCCACACACCCCCGCTCACTAGCCTAGTGGGCGGGGACGGTACTTAAACGCATTCTACCCTTTAAAAAAAGCTCAAAGAGAGAGAGGGAGATTGGGCTGGGGTAATATGCTGCGTCATAAAAAATAACGTTGCGATTCCTTCACAGCAATCAAGGCAAAATATAAAAATCATCGTTTTTTCTGTTCTTTTAATGACTGTAGTGTTTGTTTTTAAACAGAGCGTGACACTGACACACGTAGGACAGCTGTTTTGTCTATGATAGCGAACCGCTTACGTCGGCGTAGCTGTCAAACTTCATTGATTGGGTTGGTAGCCTTGAGGGAAGAGTCGTCGGAGTCGTCACGACTCCGACGACAATAATATGCGGAGGGAATACCTACCCAAATCAGCGAGGAAATTCAATTTCGAGTAAACCTCAAAATCGATTAAAAACAGCACCCGATAAGGAGGACTCAAATCGATCTGGGAAAAACTATTCAAAATTCAACAACTGTCAAACTCCATTCATTCATCCACGCGCCCCCACAGAGATTCACTGCCTGATTACTTTTTTTTTTTTTTTTTTTTATAAGTCTCAAGGCGAATATTTTAGTCGAATAGAAAAATCGACTCTTCCCTCAAGGCTACCAACCCAATCAATGAAGTTTGACAGCTACGCCGACGTAAGCGGTTCGCTATCATAGACAAAACAGCTGTCCTACGTGTGTCAGTGTCACGCTCTGTTTAAAAACAAACACTACATGACTTTCTGAGGAGCCGATGGCGCAGGTGGTTAGCGCGTTCGGCTGCGATCGTTGAACTTAAGCAATTTTCGTAGCGTTCAGTCATTGGATGGGTGACCAAAAATTACTATCTCGAGCTCCTCCGTGCTTTAGAAGGCACGTTAAGCCGTTGGTCCGGGCTGCATCTGCAGTCGTTAGCACCCACCAATCTGCACTGAGCCCGCGCGGTGGGTTATGGCCCAATCTCCCTATTCCATCCATAGGGAAGGCCTGTGCCCCAGCAGTGGGGACATTAAAAGGCTGATGATGATGATGAATGACTTTCATTCAATGTTTTTATTGGCAGGTACCACCTACGACACCCAACTTGATCGATCAAGAAACTTCTCGCGAAATCTTTGAAGACGTGTTCCAGAGGCTGCAGGCGCTAGGAGACAGAGGCAAAAGGGTGGTCACCAGACTTCACGAAACCATGGGGGTGGAGTACAATCAGGTAAAATATATTGTTTTAAACTAGCATGGTCACTAACATTATGGCTATTATCAGGAATTTAACCATGTACCTTGTGTTTGTGAGTCTCCGATATTTGTCCGCTGTTGAAAGCAGGGTTGCTAGATCCGATTTAAAAAAAGTCGGGAGGCGTTACAGTATAAAAATAATAGATGTAGGGAAAGAGCTGCAAGAAAAAACAGTAGAAGCAGGGGCGTAATCCCGTTTAGCCATAATAAAATTAGGTAAAACATAATACATTTAACCTTTTTACTAGAAAAAGTTCTTACTCCTTTCATAAAGGCTGGCATTTTTTTGATACTCCTGTTTTTTTTTTGAGTGTGTATACTGTAGGTCCCAATTAGTAGTAGACCTTTACAGCGTCACCGGGTTTGGGGATGGCGAGATCCTAAGGAGACCTCAAGCCGAGAATTGGTGAGTGCCTCTAGCCTCTAGAGGTATTCCAGACGGATGGCATCTCCCCACGGGGGGGCAGTCTCCTCTCCGTCTGGAGCCTCTAGACCACTCAAACCTAAGGGGGACGGCTCAACTAGAGGGCGTCTCTGAGACTCGGACCTCGGTTCTAGTTAGCCGTTGTCGCGGGGGACGGGGAAAACGCCCAGGTACGTACCTGTACCTGGTATAGCGTGTCTGTGTTTGTAGGGTCCTCGCACTCCTATCCTACGGGTGCGGCGTCTGCCGCAGCTAGTGCTGCTGGTGTGCAAGTATGCTAGCTGTATAGTGTTGGTGTTTGTGGCCTGTGTGGCAGGAGTCGGAGGCGCGTTGGCGCGGATGATTTCGTCGTCGGGGTAATCCAAGCCCTGCCTAGGCCGACGGATTGGAGGGAGGAGTCCTGGTATTGCAGATGTCGACAGTCCTCACTTATCAGATGAGCTGTCTGCTAGTATACCCCAATAGTACAAAGAAAAGAAAAATGAAAGAGAAGTCTCGAAAGAGACTTCCATTAAAGTCTTAGTAGCATAGCGATTAGTAAATTCACCAGGATAGCGGAAAATGCTGATTCGGAAATTTTTACATTTATAGAACATCGTTTATTTTAGATTGGTTTTGAGGGCGTAAATAATTTTGGAATTTAAAACGGATTTTGCATTCCGGGCTTGATTTAAAAATAAATCACTGTTTTGTACCTATAAGTTATAGTGCATATTAAAAGCCCACTGCTAAAGCTTGTAGGTATTCGCCATTAAACAGCTCACCAGCCGCCCTCACACCCGCTACATTAGAAAGGTATTTACTTCAAGAGATGGGAAAAATATTTCAATGCCAAACGACGGCGAGTCCTATATTTATGATCCGCTTACGCAATACGTTCCAAGAAGTTTTAATTAAAGCTGGTAAATTAATAGCAATGGGATGATGTGTGGAAACAACATGTGCCTAGAATCAGTGTCTGCCTGACGAACCAAGCTCGAATGGGCTCGTTCATTGAAGGATCAAACGAGTAGCACTTGACTAGGGTTGCCACCACAGAACACAGAAAGAGGTTAGAAGGGTGATCACAGACATATATCATAGTGAGTTTTGCACGGGAACCGACGTCGCCGGCTCGCCCCCACTACTTTTCCACATAAAAGATAATAGCCAATCAAACGAAGCGGCAAACGACACAATCAGAACCAAGTTTTGGTCAAGTTATGAGCATTTGCTCATACATAACTGTGGCGCGCCTGCCCTGCCCACAAGGTCCTTCTAACATTTTTCCTGTGTTTGCCTATTACTATAATTTATTCTTTACTAGCATCTGCCCTCGATTTAACTCGTTAACTTTACTTTGAGAATCCCTCAGGAACCTAAATTTTTTTCGGGGTAAAATGTATCCTATGTCTCTATCCAGGTTATCAACTACGTGTGCACAAAATTTTAACCAAATCCGATGACTAGTTTTTGTGTGATTGACTCACAAACAAAAACCTTTTTTTTGGTTCAAACATAACAAATAAACCACAGACAAATACACTTGCGTTTTGTATGTGAAATATCACATTTTTTACTGTGCCTAATTGTCTAACTTCATAGTAATTTGACAATTGAGCGCAAATTGAGCGTGATAAAAACGTACTATGTATCATATCGCGGTGTTTATGCTAAGGGGGCAAGCTTGTTTTTCTCTGGTCAATACTCAAGAAGTATGACGGGGTGCATGTATACCTTATTTTTTACGAGTCAGTTTCTCTATGTTAGTAATTTTTTTCATCATGGCACTTGCATCACTGTCAAAATATCTGGAACTCGCAGAAAACAAGGTACATGGTAGCATTGCGCTGCTATCTGTACCCACTTCACAATCTATACTTCACAATCTGTAGCCACTGTGACTTGACCACGAATATATGACCTGCCCCTGGCGCCAAAGCTGGATCCGCCCTTGCAGCTAATTTATTTTTATTTCTAGTATTAAACGAGTTATAAAAAAACAGTTGACAGCCCTACACTTGGCCAGGGGGCCAATCGCCTAACGGAAATGCTTTGGGAAACGCTAACGCTTACGATTTTATATTTTTATTTCTAGCCGCCTGAGGTTTTCGAATACCTCACGCTCATTTTTTTTAATATTGTTATTACCAATGCAAAATAAAAAGAAAGAGCGCGAGGCATTTGAATACCTCAGGCGGCTAGAAATAACAAAATAAAATCGTAAGCGTTAGCGTTTTCCAAAGCATTTCCGTTAGGCGATTGGCCCCCAGTGCCGTATCTATTTACAACGCAATTTGTAGTAGCCACATCTCAAGTTCAACGGGTGTAGCAATAAATCTTTTAATCATGTACAGATTTGCAAACTTGTTTTGTGTCCATCTAACCGATGTCGCATTGATATAATGAACAATTGCTTTTTTCTACGAAGTTTTGGCGCCGTCTATGCAGAAATAGATTACAATATTAGGTCATAATTCATTTAACAATAGGTAATAAACATTACAAAAAATAACAAAGCTATTAAATAATGACTCTCGGTTTCAGCTCGCTTTTATATAATAAATATGGCAGTGAATTAATTGAAGGATAAGGAAGTGATCATTCATAAATAACTTATTATATATTGATGAACAAATCTATATATTATCATATTTTGGGAATAGTTACCTAATAATTAAGACTTTGCATGATTTGGACATTAAAAACGAATAATGACATACTACAAGGAGCTCGATGGCGCTAGTGGTTAGCGCGTTCGGCTGCGGTCGTTGAAGTTGAGAAACTTTCGCAGTGGTCGGTCATTGGATGAGTGACCAAAAATTTACAATCTCGAGCTCCTCCGTGCTTCGGAAGGCACGTTAAGCCATTGGTCCCGGCTGCATCTGCAGTCGTTAGCACCCACCAACCCGCACTGAGCCCGCGTGGTGGGTCATGGCCTAATCTCCCTAATCCATCCATAGGGAAGGCCCACAGGCCTTGGGGATTGTGGCCCCAGCAGTGGGACATTAATAGGCTGATGATGAATGACATAGATATATTTTAACGTAATTTTATTAATTAACAATATTACTTTGCGCGCTTTCTTGCATGTTGAAATCATTGTATGGAGAATAGAACTTCTGAAATATTAATCTTTTATATGATTTCATGCAAATAATTGATTGATTGAAGAGCAAAAAGTGAAAACGTGAGTGTCGCAGAACACTCTGATGAAACGAAGTTAAAAATAAACATATGTTTAAGTTCAAAAAGATGATAAAATCTTTCACTTGTTTTTTCCTAACCCGCATCCGCCAAGTCCGAACAATCTCAAAAGGAATTTCTCAACAAAACTTTTTAATTTTATGCAAGGCAACCTGTTGTAGCTTGTGCAAGACAGTTTTTCATTACCCTTTTATGTACCTACCTAGATTTATTGCAATCTGACGTAGGTACTATACGCAAACCTTATTTGCATATTTTGCAGGCTTATTCATTTAAGTATAGGTTTCCATCATAAAAATATCTATTTTATACTTAGTATACTTAAATTGGTTATAAAAACATCTTATTCTCTCTCTTAACATAAAAGATAATTCAAAGGCCTCGGCTGTTTGAAAGCTATCATTAAGATCTATTTATATTAAGCTTTCTAAATGAACTATTGAGACTAGCTCTAGACCTTAACTAAATGCCAGCGCCACAACTTTCACGAGCTTACCTACATTCTATAGCTTAAAGCACTTGCCTTTTATCTATAAATACTTATATTATAACTAGCTGACCCAGCGAACTTCGTACCGCCATAAAAATAGTGTAACGTAGTGTCCTATCAATTTCCTGGGATAACATTCTACCCCATATGAGAACACTACGTTACAATACCCAATAGTTTGAATGTTGGCGCGAAGGCGCATTGTAGGTTTCAGAACATTACGTTACAGGTGGACAACCATTATCACTTATGGATATGAAAAATAGATAGTAGCCTATTCTCAGACCCACGGAATATACATATATTTCATAAAGGTCAGTCCGTTTCTGAGGAGTATGGTAACTAACATTGTGACACGAGAATTTTATATTTATACTAGCTGTCCCAGCGAACTTCATACCGCCCTAAAAAAATAGGGGTTGGTGGTAGAAAGGTGAAAATTTAGGGTTATATGTATTTACTAATGCTGTATCATAAAAAAATTTAAAAAAATATATCTAAAATTAAAAAAAGAATTTAGGGGTGGATTACCCTTAACATTTAGGGGGATGAAAAATAGATTACATCCGATTCTCAGACCTACCGAATATGCATATATAATTTCACGAAAATCGGTCGAGCCGTTTCGGAGGAGTTTAACCACAAACACCGCGACACGAGAATTTTATATATTACTAGCTGTCCCAGCGAACTTCGTACCGCCATAAAAAAATAGGGGTTGGTGGTAGAAGGGTGAAAATTTAGGGTTGTATGCATTCGTCGGACCTATCTATAAAAAAATGGCATTTGAGTGAATGAACAAAACACGGCGTAACTAGTCTAAGCTTATTCCTTGTTTATTGATAAGGGAGAAAAGGTGCTGGACCGATTTCAATCAATTCCTTCACCGTTAGAATGCTACATTATTCCTGAGTGACATCCTACTCAATCACACAAAAACGGCTGAAAGGATTTGGGTGAGATTTGGTATACCTATAGTTATCAACTGAATGAAGACAAAGAATACTTTTTATCTCCAAAAAATCGAATGGCGAAGTCGTGGGCGGCATCAAGTCCTAGGCTATATTCTATGGCGTTAATAAATAAATGAATTTACTCGTGCAAAGAGACAGTGTATAAGAAGTTACTTTCTTGTTGTTGCAGACTTCGAATATAATGTCGACTATCACGGGAAGTGATGAGGAGCTGGACAGACTGAGAAGAATATTGGTAGAAGCCATAGACGAGGAGAAAACTCGGACCCAGAGACAAGGTGAGAGAGAGGAAGAAACAAGAGGAAAAAATTTTATCTTACAAGATTTATTAATGAGAACATGAGCTGATCAATAAGAAAAAAATATATACAGTCAACAGTAGTCTCACTATGGGAAATCCTCGCTTTTTTTATAAAACCGAAAAAGGCCACAAAAAGAAAGAATTTCTTTTTTTTTTTTGGTAACACATCATCTCTTATCTATTATACAAGTCCGTCCGTCCGTCCGTGGTGCTGTTTCAGCGGCCAAACCGTAAGAGATAGATAAAGAGAATGTTTAAGTTATAAGTTGAGAATAGTCTGATAAGACTACAAACCGGATGTGAGTAACGTAGCACATCCGGTTTTCGAGAAATCACGTGATTTCTATTTCAAACGAAACCACACAAAATCTCCGAAGTTCTCAATTAATTAAATACATTTTTTTTTTGGTGAACATTTGGTTCACTGGTTTGCTAGTTATGTATATTGTTTTAAACTTTCATGGTGACTAATATTATAATAGATTTATGTTATTTATGGTATTGCAACCATCTAAGTACTTTGGATTGGGAAATTTTATGGTATTTCGTCAATCCGCTCCGCAATTATAGCGCTGGCAAGACTTCGGAAATATGGGAAACTCGTTAAAAACAAGGTACATCGTAATGGTAATTTTCACGACAATGTGTTATTCGTATAAAATCCCTCAAGTTATTTATTTTTCATTAAATTCTTTGCACTAACTTTAAGACTTGAGAAACACATTAAACTTTAATAATTTGTGCATTCGGCAATTTAATTAACTAATTAGTTTTGGATTTATGAGGTGATATACTTTTGGGCGTGTAGAGAATTAGATTCGCAGTGACGGAGTATTTAATTCTGTCTAAATCTAGCAGAAATCTAGCAGTTAAACACTTACAAAATATAATTAGCCTATGTATGTTTACGTGATTGTCTTAATCAAAGCTTGTAATGTTTTATTATTAAGAAAGGAGACGCCAAGCTAATGAAAACGCGCGTGCCAAACGGGAGCTCATGCTAGGACAGATTGAGCTTCAGAAGCAACTCAACGAAGATGATGAGGCCAGGGACTATGCAGCTGAAGAGGTAAGCAATAATAAATAAATAAATATTTCCAACACTCACACTAATTCGCGTAACACCGAAGTACCTAAGCACTAAAGGACTTGTGTTATGAGATACAAGAGTAACAGATAGACAGACCCCTCTTTCCCAGTGGGGACTTTGGGCAAGTGCCCAGGAAACCGCGATCGATAGGGGCCCACCTCAAATCAAATACAAAGTCCCTAGTTCCTGTTAGATCACCATACGGGGCTCATAGGGGCCCCATTATCCTAATATGCCCATGGCCTCCAATAGGTCAAAGACGGCACTGCATATAAAATACATCACAATATACTGATATGGGATACTAGGGAGGGTAAACGGATAGAATACAAATCATCATCATCATCATCATCATCATCGGCCTATTAATGTCCCCACTGCTGGGGCACAGGCCTTCCCTATGGATGGAATAGGGAGATTGGGCCATGACCCACCACGCGGGCCTAGTGCGGATTGGTGGGTGCTAACGACTGCAAATGCAGCCGGGACCAACGGCTTAACGTGCCTTCCGAAGCACGGAGGAGCTCGAGATATTAAATTTTTGGTCACCCATCCAATGACCGACCACTGCGAAAGTTACTTAACTTCAACGATCGCAGCCGAACGCGCTAACCACCTGCGCCATCGAGCTCCTCAAGAATACAAATACTAATACGTATATAAGTATATTTTTAATTAGAAGTACAAATGAACATTCATGGCGTAGGTACAATTCTAATATATAACAAAATTCCGATAGAAATTAAAAGAGAAAGCAAAATAAATACATTTAAATGAAACTCAAACAACATCTTATCAAGAAAGCATACTATTCGGTAAATGAATTTATGAATGATCAGTGAAACCGTCACGGAAAGCTCACTAACTTATTTGAAACTGAAACTGTTTAGTAGTTGTGTTGATATATTTACTGTACTTGCAACACCCTGACAGGGTCATGTACCATGCTAAAATAATTTTAAGATCCTATATATACTGTACATGTGCAATTAATTAAATAAATAAATAAACAAATGCTCGTATTCATTATACTAAACATTTTCTCCATCGGAATTCGAACCGGAGACCTCACGAGTACGCGCTTGAAAACCGGCATTCATACCACTCGAGCCACGGAGGTCGTCAAATAATAACAGTATTCATTTGAGGCATAGATCTAGACAAAGGAACTGGCTAGCCAGCGCCGAGTATAATATTACACGAACCACTTGATGCCACTGTTGACTCTTCTATAACTCAAAACCTCTTTAACGTAAACACATAAAACTACGTGTGTTCAATTATATCCATAAGGACATCTAGAGGCCCAAATTTCATGAAGCTAGCTCAAACAGTTATAAAGATATGAAGGTCAAAAAGTCGTAAATTTTAGCACATATATACATTTACAAAAAAATAAAAATGTGAAATTTGATTTTCTTCTATTAAGTCTTAATCTGTTATCTATTAGACACGTCCGTCCGTCCGTCCGTGGTGCTGTTTCAGCGGCCAAACCGTAAGAGATAGATAAAGAGAATGTTTAAGTTATAAGTTAAGAATAGTCTGATAAGACTACAAACCGGATTTGAGTAACGTAGCACTTCCGTTTTTCGAGAAATAACGTGATTTCTATTTCAAACGAAACCACACAAAATCTCCGAAGTTCTCAATTAATTAAATACATTTTTTTTTTTTTGGTGAACCTTTGGTTCACTGGTTTGCTAGTATTGATATAATAACTGTCAAAGTGATACAAACAAAGATTCAAATAAATTTTTGAAAATGCTATCAAACAAAAATCGAAATGCATTCGTATCGTACTGGGCAAACCACGGACCTGAAAAAAATAATATTTTTTTCAGCTCCGTGGGGCCAACGATGTATTCGTCATTCGTATTGGTATCGTAGTAGCCGTATCGCTGCATCCCTACTTACAACTACCGCCTTGTTAATAAAAGAGGAATAAGCCTAGACTAGTTACGCCATGTTTTATTCATATCACTCAACGAGTTACTAATCCAAGCTTAGTCTTCGTTTATTAATAAGGGGGCTTACGGGGGCCATTCGCCTAACGTGAATGCTTTGGAAAACGCTAACGCTTACGATTTCATTTTGTTATTTCTAGCCGCCTGAAGTTTTCAAATGCCTCTGGTTTAGGTTTTTTATTCTTATTTTTATCTAGCAGGACAACGTCGATTCCACAAGTGATATAGAAAATTTAAAATTCAGATTTGCTACGGCATTGAGGCACCCCAGCCCTGTTTCTGGGAAACGTCAATATGTTTTCAAGTTTGATTTTAATGTATGCGGTCTCTTTTTTTACATTAGCACTATTAAGGACAATAGGTAACAGGTCACTGTGACAAGCGAAAAATAATTTAATTGATTTACCGGCGCCGTTGTTTAAGAAAAAGTAATTTGATAATTTAAATATCCTAAGTTTAAGACTAGATATTTTAGTAATAATACCACATAAGTAACGAAACGTACTGTACGTTTCTTTACTCATGTGGTATTACCGTAGTGTGTGTGAAATGTACGCTGGTTTTCAAGGTTTCGTCTACTCAGGCAGGACTTGGAATAACGTAAAAAATTTGGTTACATTACTTTGGTTTAGCAAGGGTAACGATAATCAGAAAATAACGTTACTCTAATTAACGTTACTTCGGTAACCTCTATATTATAAAACTCAAAAGGGACTGACTGACATAGTAATCTATCAACGCACAGCCCAAACCACTGGACGGATCGGGCTGAAATTTGGCATGCAGGTAGATGTTATGACGCAGGCATCCGCTAAGAAAGGATTTTGATCAATTCTACCCCCCAGGGGATAAAATAGGAAATGAAAGTTTGTATGAAACTTGGTCAATTTTAAACCGATCGGGCTGAGACTTTGCATGCAGGTATAAGAAGAATCATAGATGAATGTCATTGTGTATAATAAAAGCCTGAGAACAAAAACTGTAGTCTACACTTCAGCTCTACACCGAAGCGAAGCGAGGGCGGGCCGCTAGTTATTCATATATGTTAAAACTATTACCAATCTAAATAAAAAATATAACTATTACCAATCTTTTTAACGTTATGAGATAACGTTACTTTTAAATCCTACTGATGTTAAACTAAGGCCCGTATTAGGGAAAGAATCTCAGTGATTGATCTAGTCTTGAGCATAGTTAGAAAGGGACGTCGCTATATATAGCACATAGCGATATCCCTTTCTAATTGTACTCAAGTAAAGATCAACACTTAGTTGCCATTCTGTAATACGGACCTAAGAGTCCTATAGGCAATACCGAACGCCATAAACATGTGGGTGCACTGACCAATTTATGCTACCGCGATCTTGATGACCGTGTCCAATTGCGGGTTACCTACAATTCAAAGAGATGGCGCTCCCTTGCAGCCTATGAAAAACTAGAAGAAATTGGATTTAATGACCGTCATTAAGGTCGCGGTAGCATATTCGGTCAGTGCATCCGTCCGGAGAACGGAGGTTGCGGGTTCAAGTCTCGTGGGCTACCTCGACCGCGTGGATTCTTTAGATCGAGTAGAATTATTTGATATGATCTATGATTCTTGTTGATGATATCCACCAGGACCTCCAACCTGATGGCTACGCGGAACACCACGAGCAAGTGACAGAAACGCCTACGGGGCTGGACATGAGCAACTCCGAGTTCTGGTCATCGTTTTCAAGCAGTGAAGAGGCTTTGCTAGCCTGCGATGGACTTATACTCAACTTGCCACTGACTCCACATCCATCGTGCCATAGACAAGCTTCGGATGCTGAAGGATTTACCGCAGCTAGGGCAAATGCCCTCACATACAGGTAATGATTTAACTTTACACTAATTTACCGCTCCTTCTATAAAGTTTGTTATTGCACCACACCTGATATGAAACCCAGCAATGAGGAGACACCATTAGCCTGAGACTGGTTCATCCCCTAACTGTCACTAACACCACTTCGTGCCATAAGGACGCTTTGGATGCTGAAGGATTTACAGCAGCAGATTGAGTATGAGTCTATGCCAGATCAATATATACTCCAGTGGCTAGTGCCAATGTCCTCACATACAGGTGTTTTCCTTATAGAAATATGCCAAACCATGTTTATCGGTTTCTCTGTACAATAGGGGTGATGACGGGGTAGACTAAACGAAATTCTATTTAGTCCGTCAGTTAGATGATCAAAAAATAATGGACACGTATTTTTTCTTTGGGATATCAACCAAAAAATGACAAAGTTATAGCACGTCAAAGTTTGGGAGTAGGGGCTCGTGACGTCATTTTTAGTGAATTTTCACTTAAAAGTCAAACGTGACGTCATGCGACTTTCCAAATCAATATATCTCTGCAATGTTTATATTATGTGAAAAAAGAAAAAATACGTGTCCAATACTTTTTTAAAATCTTCCTAATAAACAAAGAAAAAAAATAGTCATCATCCCTATTGTGTATTCCACCTCACTTGGAATTAAGACCACCAATAAGTAGGTTATGCTGGACTGACATGGAGATATCTTTAACCTGCCGCAAACACACACCCTTCGTGTTATAGATACGATTCTGAAGCTGAAGTATTTACATTGGAAAGGACTAATGCTGTCACATACAAGTTAGCTTTTACCTAAACAAAAGTATGATCAGTATTGTACTGTAAAGTATTTCCACCACACTTGATATTAAGGTCAGCAAGGGCTGGATATGAGCAACTCCGAGTTCTGGTCCTCTTCTCAAGGAGCGTGGAGGTTTCTACAAAATGATTCATCGCTAGAAGATTATGGATTAGACCAGCAAAGTTATGACGTGAGCTGATGCGGCACGTATTTCTACTAGATATTCTCTCTGATTTTCAAGCATGCATTAACATATTATAAATTATGTAATTACAATTTCCCTTGGTCGCGAATGCCGTACGTACGTACTTTAAAACGATTTCATCCATCTTCTTTTTCCATTTTTTTTTATGTTTTGTGCAAGGTTCTTACGAAAAAAACAAGAAAGTTGCTCATAAAATTTAACAAAACTTAGCTTTTAAACTCTACTTAATAGATAGCGCTTAAGCCAGGTTTTAGGATATTTTCATGTTGTCCAGGCAACGTCTGTCAAATCCTCTAGTTTGTCAATAAAAAGGAAAAGTTTTCGGGCCAGTTCATAAGTGTCGCCGCACAGGGGCCACACGCCACAGCCACAAACGCCGCCACGAGAAGCTAGAAGCGGCTACTAAAGTGGCTGAAGCGCGCGACAATGGGTGGGGAATCGCACGAGTGACGTGTGCTGGCGTTTGTATCGGCGCATTAAGTGGCCGGTGCGGGCGAAAAGAAGCGAGCAACGACGATTTGAACCGTATGGCGGCCACCGACGTAACGTGTGTGGCGAGTTGATATAAAATGTATGAAAACTACAATAAATATGCCGGTGGCGGCGTTTTGTGGTTGTGGTCGATGGCCCGTGTGCGGCGACACTAAAATCATTTCCGTTACAGAGTACCGTCGAACGGCTACTACTTCTTCGTATTCAACTCGGAGAACGAAGTGCAGACGAACTTCATAAAGGCACGCTTCGAACTGCAGAAGACGCGGTACGACGTTGCAAGGACCGCACTCAGGGAGTGCAGGAATAGCACGGCGAGGTGCGACTTGCCGTTAGACATATTCTCCAGTCAGAAGGTAATTTCTTTGCCACATGTGATCATGATGATGGAAAGTTGCCAGGTAGAACATTCCTTCGTTCTGAATCCAGCTTGAAAAGTATTGCAAATTCTTATTACATGAAAGGAAAGCAACTTGTAAAACATGTGTAAAAGGTCACGTTTGTTTAAAGATTTTTTCACAGTACATCCCTGGAAACCTTACTCGCTGCAAGAAAACTACAAATATTTTTTTTCTACTAAAAACTTTCCTTTAGATTTAAACATCCAGCAGTTAAATGCTTAAAAATAAATAAAAACATAACTATAATTGCGATTTCTTCTTTCAAATGTTTAATACTTGAAGAAGTATTCATTTGACATTGTGGGTTACCTACAATGCGAAGAGATGGCGCTGCCTTGCAGCTTAAGGCTAGGAAAATTTCGAGCGGCCATCAGGGCCGTGGTAGCATAATTGGTCAGTGCATTCGCCCGGATTGCGAAGGATGCGGGTTCGAGTCCCGTCCGCTGCCTGGTCCGCGTGGATTTTTTTCTAGTAAAATTTTTCTTTAGATTTAAACATCTAGCAGTTAAATGCTTAAAAATAAATAAAAACATAACTACAAATAGGTAGTCTTAATTAGGTACAGTTTCCTGTTCATCATCATCATCATCATCAGCAATCATCAATGTCCCCATTGCTTCAACACATGCCTTCCTTATGGATGGAACATGGAGTTTAAGCCATTACCCACCCGGTGCAGCTGCAGCCAACTTAAAGTGCCTCGGAAGCACGGAGATAGTAAATTTTTGACCACCCATCTTATGACCGGCTATTGTGAAAGTTACTGAACTGCCACGATCTAACTTGCGCCAACGGGGTTCCCTTTAAATAGATTAAAATAAGTATATCGTATTTTATACCCGTTGAAAGGCAATGTATTTAATCACATGACCTTTGACATAGACGACCTCCGTGGCCAAGTGGTTTGTACGCCGGGTTTCATGGTGTCGCCGACTCGAGAGGTCCCGGGTTTGAATCCCGGTGGAGGCAGATGTTTGTGTGATAAACACGAGCATTTGCACTCCAGTCATGGATGTTTAATATGTATTTCTATATAAATATGCTTATATATGTACCTACAGCATATGTATTCTATCCGTTACCCTAGCTTGCCATAACACAATCCTAACGTATATACGTATATCGTAACGATTTCTCGTAGTGTGTATGGCCGGTATTACAGTGCTTACTTTTAGGCTAGGCTAATTGGTGTGAGTGTTGGAAATATTAATTATTAATTACTATTAATTAACTTTCTTCGTAACATCCACTGAAAATTAACATCTTTCTTTCCTAGGTGGTTCTAGAAGTGCCCTTGCGCAACAATGACTCGCTGTGGAACGAGCAGTTCGTGATCATCTCCGAATGTGAACCCCGTACCTCAGTATACCTGATCTGCGTAATCGCTGTGCCATTACTCATTATGGTGTTCGCATTCCAATAAAACTCGAGAGTGAATAAAATGTGGTCCGTCTAAACCTCCTTGATGCCAGCACATCGGTAGAAGAATACTCCTTTATCATCTGTACTGAGTAGTATGTAGGACTTCGTATGAATATACATATATACACTAGCTGTGCCCCGCGGTGTTACCCGCGGTTTATAAGGGATATTTTACAGTAAAACGTAGCCTTATTTTTTTTATAGATAGGTCCGACAAATGACTCCACCCACCTGATGTTAAGTGAAGGTGAAGTCCAGACGCGAAGATAGCTGGTACAGCAGTTCTACCTGCCACACCAGCCATCCTCACCCTGCCGGCCTGCATGTTGCTTCTTCACGCCTCTTTTAAAGGATCCCAGGTTGTAAGAGGGAGGGAACACGTGAGCGGGCAGAGCATTCCATTAACGGATAGTGCGACAAAAAAAAGAGTCACCAAATTTCTTTGTAGCCTATGTGTCCTGGATTATCACATGGATGTAACCTGGATGTCAGCTTCCTCCATACCAAATTTAATTAAAATTTCTCCATCCGTTTAGACGTGAAGAAGTAACAAACATACACACTCACAAACTTTCGCCTTTATAATATAAGTGTGATATATATGGACCTGGGGGTCCATTCTCTTTCTATGAAATCTGTAACGAAGTTCAACAAGATTACATTTCGTCATTTTGAGTTTATACTTAATTTAGAGAATCTAAACCTTAATCTATTTTCGTGCGAACAAATATTGTTATAATTAAAAACTAAGAGAACAAACAAAAAAATAAACTTAAGAGTTATAGTTAAAAACGTGCGAAGTACCGATCTAAATTTAGATTTTTCTTGAATTTAAGTGGGCTTGCTTGTTTGTTTGTAAAGCTTCTTTCAAATAAAACAGAGGGAATAAAAACGGACCATACTAACTTTCTTACCGGTTCTTCTTAATACGAGGTCTGCAGCCAGTACCCTTAATACGAGTTTGAGTTCACGAAAACTATCATAGTTTTCGTAATTGTAAATTATGTTTCTATGTCCATTTTGGTGAAAAGTAACCAAATATACTTAAAATTTAAGAAGACGCAAATGATTTAATGATGTAATTTAAACACTGTTTATATGTATTGAAACGAAAACAATCAGTACCCTTAGTACGAGTGCGAGCTCACGAAAACTATCATAGTTTTCGTACTTGTAAAACTCGTACTAAGGGTACTGTACTCGTACTCGGCGTAGACTCGCAAACTGAAAGCGTAATACCTCGTTTAGATTATGCCCATGCCGCTGCCCCTCGCGTTGCCGGCAATAATTCCCTAAATATTGCTGCGGCATGATTGAGAGAAGTATGTGTTTACATACTGCCCTACCTCTCACTTCGCTTCAGAGTTTCGGCAATGGCAGACGTCGAAGTAATTACAGCGTCCGCGCTGTGTCTTTTTGCAATCCATAATTATGTTCAAAATTTAAATAATTAATAACTTTAATATAAATAAATATTAATTATTGATAAATATTTAATTAATTAATGAGGAGCTCGATGGCGCAGGTGGGTAGCGCGTTCGGCTGCGATCTACTACTATCGCATCGTTAAGCAACTTTCGCAGTGGTCGGTCATTGGATGGGTGACCAAAAATTTCTGTCTCGAGTTCCTCCGTGCTTCGGAAGGCACGTTAAGCATCTACGATCGTTAGAACCCACCCATGGCCCAATCTCCTTACTCGCGCTGCATGTAAACGAGGTATAACTTTTTAACAGTTTCCATAATCTTTCAGTAGAAGCAAGTTTATTGACCACTTCAGCGCTTTTACAATACAATACAAAACACTTTATTGTACACCACAAAAAACATTACATTTAGTACATAACTAGTTAAAACTAGTGTAACAATGGGCGGCTTTATCGCTAAGAGCGATCTATTCCAGACAACCTTTGAATGGAGAGCAGAAGAAGGAAGTGGGAGAGACGGCGGCGCGGCGTAAATCGCTTGACTGACCTAGGTAATAATATATCTATACACTAGCTGACCCAGCGAACTTCGTACCGCCCTAAAAAAATAGGGGTTGTCCAGCGGACAAAATTGTGAATCTAAACCATTCTCAGATCCCCTTGAACACACACAAAAAATTTCATCAAAATCGGTCCAGTCGTTTAAGAGAAGTTCAGTGACATACACACTCACAGAAGAATTATATATATAAAGATTTAGTAAAATGTTAGGAAAGTCAAAACTGTACATTGAATATTTTTTAAAAGAATACTTGAGGTGTGATCTACAATCGATACCGAAGCCAAAAATAGTATTTAGAATTTTTGTCTGTTTGTCTGTATGTATGTCCGGGATAACCTCAAAAAGTACTGCATGGATTTACTTTAGATTTGGCACGAATATTATTAAGAAGTAGGGTCAACATATAGGCTACATATTATCACGCTATCACCTACGGGGAACGAGCAGTGAACCTTTATTTCTAACTAACTCCGCGCATACAAAGTCGCGGGCGTCCGCTAGTACTTTCATATACATACATACGTATAAATGTTATTAAATAGATACATATGTACACATAAATAAAAAAATCTACTTCATTTGGTAGTAATCACAAAGAAGATAAATTAAGATTTATAACTACTGCACCAGCTATCTTCGCGTTTGGACTTTATCCACTTTCAGGTGGGGTAGAGTCATTTGCCTACCTGGCTATAAAAAAAAATAGAATCAAAAGTTTTTTAAGGACAAATAATAGGACAGGTTTTTACCTTACGCCGACTGATTTTTAAAGTGAAACTTCTTTACGCACGCTTGACTTGGGGGGTAAGCTGGCGAATGCGTTACGCGTTACGAAAAATGTGTTCGGGCGAGGCGAACGGGAGTTGAGTGGGGGATATAAGCAAGAGAAAGCTGTGCGCGCGCACATTTTCTTTCTCTTTTTCGTTTATAGCTAGTAAATGAAATATGTACGTATACCTGTATATATTGTACACAGATGTATGTATACAATACAGATGGAACTAAAGAAGTTTCACTTCAGTCGTGTGGTCATAAGCATACTCGTTTTTTTTATCTTAAAAGGTTAGCAGTCACCATATTCTATAGCTTGCGCTTAATGATGAGGAGAATTTAATTCGACCCATTTTCCTTAATCCGCTTAAAAGCATAATTCATGTTTTTCCATAACTTTTCTTATTAAAAGTTTAATAGGAACATTTAAAAGGACTCCAATAGTTACTTGATAAAATAAATAAATAATAATTATAACAAGGTCGTAAAATAAAATCTGTAATTAAATTAATTTATAGTTAGCTATTTATTATTAATTAAAATTATACAAATTAAGATCGTGCCTTTAAATTTTTATTGGTATTTTTTTACATAAACGAAGGTGTCGATTCTGGCATGACTCTCTAAACCTAAACTTAAATTTGACAACAGTGTATCCTTGTCATTCTCTTTACAGATTGAAAAGGAGAGACTGATGTTAAATTTAGTTTTAAGTTTGAGAACCATGCCAGAATCGACACCAACATCGTGTCAAGGTTAAATAAAACATATAATTCTAAACGTGCATTTTTGAGTAGACAGAGACGCATACTTGTTGAAGTTCGACTTGTTATTTGTAAACCTGTAGATATTTACTGATATTTTGAGTATAGTCATGTTTATTTTTGTGTCTTTATGAAAATATTATTTGTATGTTTGTAAAATTTATATAGGAATTGTATTAAGGTGAAAAGTTGTTAAATATGTCTTTAACAAAGTGTTGTGATAATTTTAGGTAAAATGTTTTATAAAATATTTTTGATATTACCTTTATTAGTAAGTACCTTTGATTGTTTACTCTTTAGATAGAGCGTCACCTTGTAAACACCGCGATAGTTTGAACATTTGATGAAGAAAGCTAATTCTCCCAATTGTGAAGTATGTAACAAAGTGGACACATTTTGATGGAATTTGTGAAGAACAGAAGAGAGAGAGAGCTATTCATACAACAATATCAACTTAACTTTGAAAATATAGGTTCGTTTGTGAAAATGTTAGCACTACCAAACTCAGATGCAGCAAAGTCGATGTTTGATATGGTTTTCGCTGGTAAAAATAGCTCGCCCTCTCCAATGTTTTAAATTAAATTAGTTGTGTATGTTTTGGTTAGGGTACGATGAGGCTGGCATATTCGTAGTATGAAAGCCTGTAAATAAATAAAGAAAAAAAGACGCCAGATTTTATATACTTGTGTGCGTGACACGCAATACAAAACACGCGAATCTTGTATCTTACACTCGCGAAATGTCATTCTGTGTCTGATTGCATGCGCACGATGACTATTTGATAGCAGGTTAGGCCACATTCCCCAAAAGAATGATTAAACTAAACAAATCAAAATTAGTATATTTTTTTGATATGAATAATGAGTTACTTAATTACCGATGGTGAGTGACTTTATTGGTTGTTCTTATGCGACCGTTATAGTTTCGGTAAACTTTTATTGCGCATCTCGGCATTATTTAGCAATAATTTCAACACGAAACTCGGTAATTAGCGTGCGTTTAGGGTTACCATCCGTCCGGATTTGTCAGGACATGTCCTGACTTTTTGCCTTATGTCCGGAATTTGTCCGGCTTTTTAATCTGTCCGATTTTTTTTATTAGGTGGGTTATGATTAAAACTACTTATTAAGTTATATCAACTAATCTTTATTAAGTTGTCATTAATTTAAAACAAAATATAAATCATCTTTAAAAATCAACAACGAGATGAGAGCTTCTGCTACCACGCGTATTATATCACAGTTACTAAGTGGGTGATGTTTGCATTATGTGACTAAAATGTCCGGACCTTTATCGAAATGTCGAGCTTTTTGCCAGGACTTTTCAAATTTATTAAATAGTAACCCTACCTGCGTATCGCTGAGAGTTGCATTGAATACGTATTATAGAATGACAAGTAAGTGTTGATCTTTACTTGAGTACGGAGTCAGGTCAAGTCTGATTGATCTAGTCTTGAGCATAGTTAGAAAGGGATGTCGCTATATATAGCATATAGCGACATCCCTTTTTAACTATACTCAAGTACAGATCAACACAACACTTAGTTGTCATTCTGTAATACGGGCCTAATAAGTGACGGGTGACGGGAAACCAGGTAGGAGATATTTTTTTCAATGCATCTGCTCTGCCACGCTCTATCTAGGGAGTAAATAATCAAAGTTAAGTACCCATATAAATAGATAATATATTTTAGTAATATTGCAATTTAACACGAATTGTATTTAAGTTTTATTTAATCAAAGCGAATATTGAAGAATTTTGCCATAAACGCATTTGGAATTAACAGATTTATTTTATTGTATTTTTTTATTATTAAATAAATAAAATGTTAACTTAATAAAATCAAAAGATAAACGGATTACTAGATCTGATTCATGTTCTTCATCCGTTCATAGGGTCAGCCTTAGCCCATTGTCCAAGAAATTATGAATTTGTGAAGCCTCTCGCCTATTATCATACATCATGTGCTAAAATAAAAACAATATTATCGGCTGGTATAAGTCGCGGCACGAAACTAGCGCTTACCGTTATTGCGCA